TGCACAAAAAGCTGGACTTCAGCCATGTCACGTCTCGCTGTGGCTCCAAGGACAATATCAAACATGTCCCTGGAGGTGGCAATGTAAGTACTGCCGGAGCTGGAGGCAGACTCTGGTTAGGGTGGATGCATATCATTATTACACTTATTTAGCCTCGGGCTGTGTCGTGATCAATTGGGAGTCTCCTCTTTATCCCAGCCTTGAGACTTGATTAGTCACAAGGGGTAAAAGAGTAATTTGGATGCATGATATATATTACACCTGATTGGGCTGTTTACACAGAAGCAGTTATAATTCTTAAGCCTTAGTGACACAGCATGACTCTTACTTGACAGTTAAAATGGGCTAAATCCAACTACCATTTTACACACTTTGGCTGTGTTTAAGCAATCATGAGAAGATCTGATGCCTGCTGGTAAGAAATTCAATCAGTGTGACTCAGAATCAGTATACTGTATCCAAAAATCTTGTGTTATCCCTGATTAAACTGCTGCACACAGCTTTAGAAAATCTAATTTGAGTGTTTTCTGTAATCGAACCGGGCTAGAAGCAATTAAAGTTCAACTGCAACAATACAAAAGCCCTTTACCCCCAAATGCCAATCATTTACGTGCTATCATTTTCAAGAGTACCTGAAAATGAATGCGCTGTGATTAGCACATTCATGGCTCCCGCTGTTTGCATTTCAGATTTCACTTAAAGTGAACTGACCACAGGCCCTTCTGCCCACCATTCCAGATGTTGTTTCCATCTGCTCCAAACACCTGCTGCACTATCATATCCAGTCTCTGGGCTGCTCTCACAATCACCACTTTGCTGTTTTAGATCAATTCAACGAAACACAAAAGGAATAGTGTAAATGGCTTAATGTCCAACTTGTGGCATCAAGTAAAGCTACAGGCTGGACCGATCACACCCATCACAATGTCATCAGCAACTGATCAGTTTTAATTCTCAAGAAACCATGTCATATAACAAATCAATGGCATTAATTTCCTTATGGACCCTGAAATATGGCTTCTGGGTCCTTTTACCAATTTAAACCGTTGTCATGACATGGTATGGAATAATTTTATCATGTAATTAATTATGCTTTATCATGCTACAAAAATTGTACAAAAATTACATCCCTAATGGTTGGTCCCACTAATACCTCTCAACTGTTGTACTTTTGTTGTTATTTAGATATTATTTCAGTTTTTACTTTGTCTTGTTCATTTTTTGTCTGCCTTAATTACATTAAGTGCTCTGTACTTTTTTATGTATTGCTGTTTTACATGTAAATGTAAAACAACACATGTAAAAGTATGTTCCAATGCATGCTCCACATAAAGTACACACAAACCAATACAGTCCTATAAGGTGTTAAAACTACAGTACGAGGAAATGTACTATAGTAGGAATAACATTTTATATTGCTGATGAATAAATGAATAATGAAGTGAAGTTGTGTGTCCTCAGTCTAAAATGACATCATGAATATTTACATTATCTAGAATTCATCAATTTGTGTTTATATAATCTCATTAATGGCTATCGTCTATATTTAATGTGATAAGGAAAAGCCTGACCATTTCCTATCTACTGTAGAAGCTGTCAATATTAATCATGCCTTAATTGGTAGACAATGATGATTTTCTTTTAAAAATACAAGAAAAATCACATTAATTTCAACATTCATTCAAATATCAGAAAATATCCGATTTACGCTGGATCAAATACCAAGCATTTGATATAACTCCTTGTACTTTTTCAGGTTTAATGTTAGAAATGCAGAGTATGGGTCCCCAAGCATTTAGAAACTGCCGGGTGCTAACTTGCACATGTTTGGCAATTAGGATAATTAGCATAATTCGTATTAATTAGCATAAACACTTATATGGACAATATTTTAGCAACTGCTTTGCCGATTTGGAGAAAGAAAGAAATATTACAACTGAATATTAACATGGCATTGAGGTCTCTTCATTAAAAATGCAGGTTCAATGTATTAAGCATAGAAATAACCTCAGTACTGATTGCCCACTGAGAGTTGAAATTATTCAGTATGCTGGGGACCCATACTCTACGTTTCTAACATACAACTTTGGGTTACATTTCCAGGTTCACAATGGAGCTCTGTTTGCTGGAAAATAGATTATCTCTATACTGGCAACACTAGACTAAGAAAAAGCAAGATATTCTAATTTTTCTTTTTGAATCTACATTATAACAATATAACACCAATATGTGGGTTAGGGTTAGGGTTGGGTTAGGAAATGATGCAGATCTGAAATCACTGACTTCTGTCTAAAGATGTCTTCCTGGAAAAAAAAAAAAAGAAAGAAGCAATCCCTCGTGACTAATGATTAAACATAGTATGTTAAGAAAACCTTGCACTGTAGCCTCATACTGTGACCGATTCAGAAAAACGTCAGTGCATATGAGCTTAGCTCAGCTAGTCAGCTAGTACCTTAAAGGCGGGGTGAGTCATTCTGGAGAAAGCTAGTTGATGGTTGAGTCTCGTTCCCAGGTCGTCAAATACAGATGCTTTGTGTTATGGAAATCAAAAAAAAGTTGCCCAGAGTGAGCCACACAACAGGTGGCCTTTGTGATCCCAGGTTGACCTGTAAATGTGACTCATCAACTATCTTTCTTCTGAATCCCTGTGGACATAGTGGGTCAGTAATATTTTAAGCTGTCAAGCAGCCACTAATGAGGGAGAGCTCTAATATCAATCAGGCAAACTCATCATGGCTTGTTTGCTAATGAAAGTTAACAGCACTGAGGGTCACAGTGGACCGACTGTTAGTCCTCCTGTCTGCCATCTAATATGTAAGTATGATTGATCTTATCACACGCTGTCAGGCAGGTCAGCGGACCTTAAAATCCATCAGCGCTCTTCAGGATTATTCCTTGTGATCCTGAACACACGCTCTCACAATGTGATGGCGATCTAATAACAGCCCTTTCCCATCCTCCAATTATAGCCTGTCCCGATTTATCTGCATAAATGGAGCATCATTTACCAGCCTAACAAAAATAAGAAGGCACCTTCAGTAACAATAACGACTTAAGCGACTTAACAATAAGTCAAAGTAAGTGGGAATTTGAGTATTTATTGTAATGCATCCAGTCTCCCACATACTGTACCAAATGTCTTCCTCTCTATGCCCAGGTGCCTGTTAATGGCTGACAGTGATTTTCTAAAGTGGATAGAGTGGGTGCTGAAGTAAAGATGCATTGTACTGGATGTGGCGTCTCAATGAGTTAGTATAAAGAGGCTACATTATGACCTCTCCTCTTCCTCCAGGTGCAGATCCTCAATAGAAAGGTTGATTTGAGCAAGGTGACATCCAAATGTGGCTCCAAGGATAACATCAAACATAAGCCAGGTCAGGCTTCTATTCTATGTCTTCCCTTTAAACTCTACCTTATTCCATGCTGGTCTCATGCTAACCTTAATTTTTTTTCCTCAGGTGGAGGTGATGTGAAGATTGAGTCCCATAAGCTCAACATTAAAGCCAAGTCTAAGGTTGGATCCATGGACAATGTGGGGCCAGGCAACGGACAGACCAATGGTCACAAGGTCAAACTATAACACAGTCATTAATATTATCCATTAACAGACAGTTAACTTCTCTCATTCTGCTGACTCATTGTGTTTTAATGGCTCACACCACTAGATGGTGTGGTAGTATGAGTACACTATACTAAACCTTCTGTGTGTGTGTCGTCTGTGTGTCTATATTTGGCTACAGGAGGAGAAAACAGAGGAGAAGACATCTTCACCCCCGAGTGGCGCTCCGACAACAGGACCAGCAGGCGTTGCTAAGGCAACAGCACCAGGAGGTGTTGCTAAGGAGAATGGGGTGAAGGAGACCACACCTACTCCGTTTGGGGGAGACGGACTGAGGGAGCCCCTTAGCATAGACAAACGCATCACTGAGACAAGTGGGTAAACAGACACAAACCGAGCAGTCACTTTTAAAAGCATTAAAGTGCTCGTCTGTGATTGCAGCCCTCCGAACATCCGCTAAGCCCCGTCCCCCTCACTTACTTTTGTTTCTAGTACGGCACATAGAATGACAATGGTGGCAGATTTACGGCTCAAAATTCTTAGTAATTATTGAAGCAATGGGTCCTTGATTTCAGACAGAAGTAAACAAAAGTAGGTGTCTCGTTTATAGTCAACAACTGAGGATTTGGCTGGCTGAAACGACAACTGGTGCTGGCAGATATTATCAGCCGTACCCAAGCGGCAACCTCTGTGGCTGAAATAAAGCCAACAGGTGCCAAAAACGGCAGTTCCTTAAACAGCCACTTGACAATGGCTGGAAAAGTGAGTCAACCTAAGTATGGCCCCATATTAAAATGCCCAACTTTACAGCAGCAATAAACATGTTTACTGCCTGGTACAGAAAACACTTTTGGTCTCTATAGCTAATTTCCCTGTTCATGACAACTGTTCATATAATTCAATATGTAAATTATATTCATGTTTAAAGTTCTGCGTAATTAAGGACATGCCTTCTTTGAGTGACAGGTGGATGCCATCACCAGTGGCTGGTTTCAGCAATAAGGCTTCATTCAGCCTGCCAAGATGGAAAAAAAAAACTTGTGCTAGTGGTCCCTAGAATAAGGAAAATAATCTTCCTCTGCTGGCATATTCTGCAAACCATTGTTAAAAGTTAGATAGATTTTCTTAAAACCAGATTACTTTTCTAATGCAAAACATGCTTGAAAAGATATTTTTTCTTAAAACATAAAATAAGACTCATTTCCCAGAAATAAGCAGCTTATGTTAGAGCAGATAATGCACTGTTTAATCCATTCCTAAAACATTTGCTCTTGTGTTTTTGGTTTTGAAAATGTGAGAAAAAAAGACCCTCTTAGATACAGAGTAATGAGAGCTACGACTCTATGTACACCGCTTCAGGATGTGCAGAACTTCAAAGCTTGGCAGGTCTGACATGCCTAGTTACGGTTGCTAAGCTATGATTAGACAATTGCTGTTCGGGGGTTTTGCAAACGGTCAATTATTTAGACAATTGACAATAAATAAGTAGAGACTGTGTGTGCGTGCATGTGCGTGTATACCTGCTCTCTGCTACGTGTCTGATGGAGAGGGGTGGTAAAAATAGATACACTTTGCTACTAAATGAAATTATGAAGAGACCTACAGAGTTAACCAGTCTCAGTGGATACATTCATCTCTGGCACTGCAGCTGGCCTCCACTCTCCCTGAGTTCAGAGGGACAGAACAGACTCCTGCCACCTGATGCGGGTAGCCAAACTCGGCCTAATTGATGGATGGATGTAGTGCTAATACAATAAAAAGCAGGAATGTTTTATAATTAGGCCCATAATTCATATGAACCTGCCCCAGACGGCAACAGACTATTAGCTAGAGACCATCTGGCTGGTAAAATGCAAACTCTGAAAATGTCCACCGCTGTCTCAGCATCACCTTTCTCTCCTTCTGTTGGTTGCTTTCTCTTTTCTTAATCCAGTTTCTCCCCCTCCACAGATTGAGTCCCAGTGACCTGTAGATTTTGGTGGGACACGCATGGCGCTCGCCGACCTGCCAATCGACCGACCAACCAACCTACCACGGCGCAGTCACTTCCCTCTGGCCCCGCCCTTCATCTCGCCCACCGCAGCACCGAACTGACCGATCACCTCTCAGTGTTTCTCTGGGGTCCGCCTGCCAGCTTCCTGCTACCAACCCTGACCTTCGACCTCTTGACGCCCTCGGGCTGACGTTTGGCCCTGCCTACCACAGAGAAGAGCACTTGCTGTTTGTCTGTGTTTCTCTGTGCGGGGTTCCACCAGCTTCTCGACTGATAAAATCCCCTCGTAAGCACTGATTTAGAGGACTTCAACCTCAAGCTGCAAATTTAACAACCCCAGCGCAATAAATCCACAACAGTAGTCAGTGCCGTATGGAAGTATACTGAGCATAGCCAGTTTTTCATAGAATATTTCCACACCAATTACTGTTTTAACACGTGCCCCAATAGCACAAACACCCTGCCTCAGAACTATGTTCCTAAGGCTAATCTATGGTCCTTCTCACAAAGCACTTTTGATGTTCCAATCTTATTTTCCCCAGCTCCACCCCCATTCCGTGTCTGCTTAGGCCCAGACCACACTAACCAGATGAGGGTCTGCTACCGGCCAACAGCAGGGCAAATACGGTCAAGTCTGCTTTAAATCAACACATTCCAGCCTCCCAGCCAGCCAGCAATTATTTCCAAATCTACAGTATCTACAGCACTGCACGTTATAGGTAATTCTGCAGCTCACCCATCAAACAATATCTCCCATTACATCACTCGGTATCATTGCACCAGTTTGTCTCCCCAAACTATATTACATACAATAATTCTTCTTTATCTCTGGGCTATTTCTGTCATGATGCTCACAATTAGCAGTGATCGGTGCAGAGGACAAGGGCTTATGTACAGTGGAGCAGAGGAGATACAATTGGAGAAGTTTGGAAATAGATCTAAAGAATGAAAATAGATCTAAGGATGGAGTTCAAAATCAGTGCAGAGGCTTTCGGGACGTCAGACAATTTCTGTGTTACGTTTCAAGAAAAGAAAAGATGCATCCATTCAGAGTACTTACGAGGAAATTTTGTGGGTAGAACAAAGCAGACGACTTTTACCACAATTAGAAACATCATTTCATGATGTGATTAGTGCATGATAATCCTTAGGAGAGGCAGTGATGATGGAGCTCTGTTGCTTCTTTGGGTAGCCTTGGCTCAAAAAGGATCTGGCACTGAGCACAGGTATTTGATCTTGAAGCCAAGTGTTTTTTTAAGTTAAGATCACAGTATCTGACCTTGAAAGAGTGATTCTAAATTCAAGCTGAAGGAGTGATCTTGAACAGAATTATTTAAACTTTTCTGATAACTGTTAAACCTTAAACTGCTAGCTGCTGCACATTTTGGTCAAGCAACATGAAGGCATTAATGCACAGTTTACCGTATGTAGCACTTTTCTTATTGCGGACAGCGTCAAGCACCGTGTCACAGGCTGCGGTGTAAAGACCCGGTCACACCAGCACTTTAAATGGCAAGATTTTACGGCAAAATCAGTTTATTGCGATGGAATCAAAGAACTGTGTTAATAAACTGCTAGAATCTGTGGTTTCGGTCACACAAGCAAAGTCAAACCGTGCAAATGTTTTGCATCAAGTTCAAGTTGATGTGCTGTCCTTTGAGGGATCAGAGAGCTGGAGAGTCCAAAATGTAGGAAGCTATTGTAGCTGGCTTATTAGCTGTGTTACACCGACCACTTTTATTTACACACTCTGTTGGAGTATACGTTGCTCCATGAAACAGGAATGGTTTGCAGACAGTTATGAGACAGGAGTCGTACAAATGGTCTCTGATTCAACTGTGTAAATGCATTCTCCCAGTAGCAATGGTGCTAACAAGCTTAATATTCTTGCTAGCTCAGAGAGTTTTTTTCCCCCTCTTCAATAAGAGAATGAAATACAGTCCTGATAAGAAAATGCCATGAGGAAGTCAACGGTCCAGTACAGAGAAAGTAGGAAGAACCTCAGAGAACTGTTGTGGCTGACTAGCACTAGCATGTTAGCTGACCAACTAGCCCTGCGATTGGTCCCTATGTCCCCAAGCTACTACTACTACATGTTCGGAAAGACAAAGGAATGAATTTTACCATGCCACTCTCTGGTGTGACCGGGACTTAATTCACTACAACAATATTCTTTATTCTTTAGCTGGATGCCCATTAGCTTCCACAAAGTGGTCGCTAGTCTTCCTATGACACAATACCTTGAGTACATCAGGGTGTACACAGGTCTGTAGAGTATGTTACCCACCTCTGGGGATATTGAGTGTGATAGCACTACTTCATTTTACTTCACTGTTCACATTCTGAAGCTAACTCTTTGATTTAGATCAGCCCTGGTCACATGAGACTTAGCACAAGTTCACAAACTACAATGGGTGTTTGAGCACTGCAGCCCCATTCAGTTTGGGTTGATGGAAGTATTAAAAAATTACCCAAAAAAAGCACCTTAAGCGACAGACCTATTTCAGTGACTTACAAACCTTTAACCTTTAACCTTTATCTTTAAATAAGCTCATATACTCATATGTCCGACCCTTCGCATGACATAATAATAATTTGGGGGCATCAAACCCTTTAGTCTTAATTTCCTCAATAACACTATTGCTATCACAGCACATGCAACCCTGTCCTCCTGCACCATAACTCTTTCCCACACTGTCTAATCGCTTGATCCCAGACCTCCCATGTACCCCACAGTGCCGCCCACACACTGTAGACTCTCCTGTGAGGGACCCCAGCAGTCACCTTGAGCTGTGTCTAGCATATACAGTTCACATGAGGCTATCTGAGACAGACAGACAGACAGACAGACAGCGCCTTCCTTCTCTTGCGCATGTGGCACTTCCTGGTCATGTGGTTCACCCCAGTGGAGAGGGGGTGGGGCTAGAGAGCCACACCCTCTTTTAAGTCCTCCCACTAGCTGGTGTGTCTTAGAATCCTGTCTGTGAGACCTGCTAACTTTTTTCACACACTTCCACATAAGCACAGATTTATACAGGAAAGCACACACACGCTTGTTGGTGTGCATGCACACACACATACACACACACACACACACACACACACACAAAAACAGAAGTCAGCACATATACACACATACAGTATGGTACACACAAACACAAATCAGCACCCTAAAATAAAAACGGTATGCTGTTCATAGAAGCATTTCTCTGTTCTAGAACGAAACCAACTCTTTATTGTGTTTTGGTGGTCTACACTGATATTGTTAAAACAATGATGAGCTGTGTTAGTGTGTTGTTCCTATCATAGTCATTGTTGGACATTTTCATCATAGGCTCACTTCATCCTCACTCTTTCTCGTCTATTTCCTCTGCCCGTGTTTCACTCTTCACTCCAACTCTCTGACAGCAATACAGGGTCTTAGTTGGGAACGCCTCCTGTTACCTGCGCATACACATGACGTACAGACAGAGAGAAAGGGAGAGATGGTCAGAGACAGAGAACAACCACAGAGGTTAACAGGGAGTTGCAGGAGGAGCTGTTAAAGGGAATAATGTTACATTCATGGCAAGTCTGAAGATGGCAAATTCTTTGCAACTTTTTACTGATTTATTACTAGAGACTGCGTAGCAGATTGAACTAAGAGCTACTAGTAAGCCACTTGACTTGGTGACAGGTTTCTAGTTATCTATTGTTATATATTTTACTAAACATCTGTATTGTAAATAGATGGAAGCTAAAAGCTTTTTAAATGCTTATTTTGGTCAGCATTTTCTTGTTCTTTGTTTTGTATAGGATATCACTGGATATGCAAAAAATATAACAAAGTAAAGTTAAAAAATGATTTAAATATTATTTTACTACACTGGACAGCAGGAACTGCCCAGCTCCAAAATGCCATGAATGCAGCAATATTTCAGCAAAGCAGAACCAAGAGCGGCCTGGAAATACTGTAGTTGGGGCCAGCAAGTGCTGTTTGATGTTGTCTTTCAAGTGAACTAATCTGCACATGTAAAATAGAAATTCACATTTTAAGTGATTGAAACATTAAAATGGTCCTAGTATACTCAGAAAAGGTTGATGAGAAGTAAGTCTGAAGTTGTAGGGGATATTATTCTTGCTCACTTTCCACAATTATTAAATGTCTTTAATGATCTAGTATGAAGAAAAGGGCAACTTTTTTCAGCCTGTTTGTATTATTTTAGGAAATAACCTAAATTCAGTTTTAATTGATTAAAACGACACTGTGATGTGCTGTTGAGTAACAGACTAAACGCATTGTCATGTGTCAGTCGCACCAGTCAAACGAGTAGAAGCAGCCACCTTAAAGCAGACGGCCCTGTCTACTCACTGTCAGTCTATGCATTGGGCAGGCTGGAATTGGTCTCCGCTGAAACAATGAAGGATTAGTGACGAGTTTGTGGGGTGTTGCCGTAGTTGTCAGATGTGTGAAGTGTTACTACTCCATCCATCCTGTAGAGAGCGCTGCGTAGCCTCTGGAACACTGATAGTCTGGCTCTGAGACTTAACAAAGGCTGACTGAGAAACCTTACATCACCAGAAGCTTCATTAGAGTTACATACCATTCTCATTTAAACTAGCTTTGATGGCCACACTATATTATTGTGTCTGGAATACTTAATATTATCTAAATCATATGAATTATGTACAGTTCCCCTTAAAACTCAAAAGTCTTGTGCACTCTGAACACAGTCTTGTTCATTTATTGATGCACTGAAGTGATATAAAAGTTGCTTTACTGTATATTGGTAAAACATTGTCTACTGTGTACTGTACATGTGTGCTTTTGGAAGCAAAACAGTCTTGGTAGTTAGATCAAGTTATGATAATCAAAGAGCAAGTTATCAAATAGTCAACAATAAAGACTAGACAAGTAAAAGCAACATATACGCATATTTGATATTGTACTGTTCCCTCCAAATCATTCCCATGAGTTGCCTAAAAGCAAAATATGATACCTGACATATGTGTGGATCACATGTGAAGACAATAATGTGAATCTTTCTTCGGGAATAGAAGAACAAAGGGATGAAAGCACTTTGATAGCTGTAGACAGTGGTTTGTGTATATAAAATAGGAACCAGTTGTAGTCTTAATGTGTGTTGGAAGCTCAGTGTAAGAGTATGTCAGCTTAGAGGATTTTAGTGGAACTTTGGTCATCAGTGTTGTACTATTGGCTATGATGGTTTAACACTCAACCCTCCAGTCTGCCCTCATGTTGTTCCTGTCAACATTCACTGGTTATCACTGTCTGACCAAGCTACAAAGCCACGTTCCCCAAGTGGGTACGTTTCTGTTTATGGTCAGTTAAAGGACCATACTAAACCTTTAGGAGCCTTATTTCAGAGGATTAGCATCAAAAGTACTGCTGGTAGAACGTGTTGTTATGAATGAATTTCTCTCCTTTAGCATACAGTATGTTCAGTCATTGTAAGTGACTTTTGTTATCCTAAAACAATGAGAACTTGTAGCAGTTCCAATGCTGCACAGTTGATTCATTCATGAGAAGCAGCCAAACCTGTAAAACCGATATAAGGCGATGCACTTTGCATTGCACATACACTGGAAGCCAGTTAGCCAGACAGCTAACAAGTTTTCGAAAGGGACGTTGCTGGTGATTTATGATCTTACAGTCTATAAACTAGAAACTAATTGCTGTTAAGGGTCATAATTTGTATAACTTTGCGAGCAAAACTATACAAATAGTTTCTAGATTAAGGTACAGAACAGATCAAATGCAGGTATCAGTTGTCTGGAGAAGTTTCAATACGGCTTAGTACTGGATTATTTTGGTCGATACCAAAATGTATTAGATAGGATAAATCACTAGGCCACCAGGGCGATGCAAGATGACGGTGAATCATCAGTAGCTGTGTAAGTGACTTTACATTAATTTGTCATAAATAACGAACATACATTTGAGGTCATTTAGAAACTCTTTCATAACCAAATTTAAGGGAACATAAAAATGTTTATGTTGTGTTATCTACAAAAATGCAAATCAGCCAAATGAATACACAATTGAAATTTCTTTTAAGTCTAGTATCTGCCAGACTATACTTTCCATGCTGTATGCTAAAGCAATAACACATGGGGCTATCCAATAGAGGTAAATTATGGTTCCAAAGATCAGTGGGCAACCTGATCCATTAAAGTTTCCACAGAAGTTATGGTTAGGTTTCAGACTAGATTTATGCATGTAGTACTCAGTAGTAACCAGTATGGTTATTTGTGAAATAAAGTTAACGTGCAGCATTGCAGCTTGGACAAAAGGTAATAACCAGATTCACTTTGATAGCCGTCCACAAATGTTTGATTCCCCAGTTATAGCGCTTGAATACCACCCTTCCACTAGTAGCTCACGCTGTACCTTGTATATAGTTTCCACCATGTTTTTATCACTCCAGAAGTAACTCAAATAAATGAAAATCAAACAAAAAAAGAAAAAAAAATCTTACTTCTTAACAGGGTGTCGTGGATGTTGACAGATGAGCTTTCACGTTCATAAACCTGTTACTGTTAAGGTCAATAATGGTATTATTATAAGATTGAAAGCATAAGAAAGGAAAAGTGTACTTTTTCTTTTTTCAGAGTCTGCCTTTTTTCCTCCAAGAAAAGGGCTGCTGAAGTTTCAAGAATGTTTTTAAAATGTATTAAAGATGCAAGATTATGAATACGTGTATGAGGTTTGTCTCTGTTCTGTTTTGGAAGATAGGTCACACATGGAAACACTATTTACTGGATTCAAATTGACGGGCAGGAAGGGGGGCAGTGTGTGTCGTGTTTAGTATGGTCGGACTCAACAGAAAGCAAACCAGAATCGCAGAAACCCAAATACCACACTTAAGAATTGGTTGGCAAACGGAAAGGAACAATCCGATCGGTTTCCACTTTGGTCTAAAATGCACTACTGTACTTGTGACACCTGGCACACACTGGTCAGCCCTTTCTCCCGCCATCCGCCACCCCCCCGTTAGACTAACCAGACTTAGTCTTTTGGCATGTGGTAGAGAGTAATGTTCTGTATTAGACAGCTCCTATATAGACACCTTGACATATCTACCAACACAGGACTGAATTAAGGGAAGTTTTGGACCAAATTATCTTCTCAGTGTCAGTAACAAGAGCTTAGAATAACGGAACAATTTGGACCAATTTGCACTGTTAAAAAGCATAGGATAAATTAGTGGACGCTGAGCTCAAACATTGGACAGTAAGTTTGAACTCAGACTTTCTTCTAAGAGAGGTGGCTAATTGCCTGAATTGTGAAAACAAAGGGGGAAAGGGTAACTCCTGAATAAAAGGGAGTGTTGGTAGATATGCACCTGGAGCCCCTAGCTGTGTCTCCCACCTACAGACGCGTATCAGCATCACAGCACTGAAAAGTAGCTTTCTCTTCTTGTGTCCTCCACCACATATACAGCAACTACCAGACGGTAGTGCAGTAAAACCAATATTTAAAACTGTTTATCAAGGAGAGCACAGAGTAAGGACAATAAAATATGTATTGATTGTATTTATTAGGCTGGCTTTGTTCATAGGATTCAAGTTTTTTGAATATACCTACTTATACCTATACTTTAGGCTGCATGTCCAAATTGTCATTACAAACAGAGGTCACAGGCAAAAAGAATCTGCTTTTCAGTACTGTGGAGTGGATCCACTGTAGCGTGTGCTGTATTATTCTGTAGGGCACAACACCATAGCAAGAGCATGCAGAAGACAACAAACAAACTGCTGGTTGTTAGAGGCATCTGTCCTATTAGGTAGAGCTCATCTCCCCCTTCAATTCTGAATATTTGGTATGAAAGAGATGTTTATTGTGATTAATTGTTAACCAGTGATGTGAATATTAATCATGAAATAAAAAGATGAGCAAAATACCAGGCAGTGTCACAGTTGTTTCATTTCTTTTACATTACACACATTGTAGTGTAGGCTATTTTTACACATTGATTGACCTTTTAAACCTTTTTCACCTGAGTGTTTAACCTGCGTCAGTGCTCTAGCATTCAGTGTGAAATGGTTTTTGGAGGTGTAAATGTAATATGTTAATGAGAGGCTGAAAGTAGGCAAACGTACAGAAGTATCTGAATCAAAATATACTTAAAATGAACTCATTGTGCAGAATGGCTGATTTCAGAAGGATTAGGCTACATTAGTGGGTAATAATGCATTCATGTGTAATGTCTCACTTTAATGTTGCACCTGGTAAAGATGGGGCTAATTTTGATAACTGTACTTTATATAATTTGTATTCTGCTGCTGCATCATATGTCATGAGCTAAAGAACAAAGGCTGACCTCCAATGATTTGATGCACACGGACCAGAGTTTCCCGAACTTTCACTTCAAGGACCTCCACAGAAGATGAAAATGAGACCAAGGATCCCCAATTTGAGAGTATTTTGTCCTGATCCCCTCTGAGTATTTTTTAATTTTAAGGTCTGAAGATAAAGTCTTCATAGTCAATCAATGATCAAACTCACTACAAATGACGATTAATCACAGCGGCCAACCCTAGTTCTTCCTGTGTTCCAACTTTCACAAAATGTGATAAAAGTTCAAAATTCTATATGAACCGGTTGCACAGCAGACATTTTATACAGGAAAACACAGGTGGACTTGAACCAGCATGCACAATAACAAGACCTCCGCTAAGTGGAATGCAGCCCTCAGTAATACACCTGTGAGTTTCCTCAGCCTACTCAAGGGCCCCTGTTGGTCCCCGGAACCCAGTTTGAAAACTTGCTAGCCCGTGGATGAGGTAATGACATGCAGGTGGGGGCGGGAACACGCTGAGGACTCTACTGGCGGACAGCAGAGGTCAGTATGGGGGAGGGAGGGAGCTGCTGTCTCTACACTGTATCAAACAGTACCACTGAGTACTTGAGTAAATGTATTCAGTTACTTTCCACCACGCTGGAGGTTTATAGCAGTACACTTACATTCAGAATGTCAGTGATATGCTATTGTTGTTCGCCAATGTGAGGCTACAGTAGGTTAGCTAGCTGTCATTGCCGTCTTTTTTCATCAGTAACATTTTTGTTAAATTACAAGAAGGCAGCCACTTACTTGGATTTCACATGGTTATATACAGAATATATAAATCTTCTATATGCTGCACATTGTAATATAGACTGCAAAGTCTGTAGACCACATTTGTACTTGAGCTTTTCTGTGGTGGCACATTTTTTGGTGAACACTTTAAGATTTTCTTTGTTTTAATCACATCAGGAGGAGATGGATTCACAGAGCCGGATGTCTTCTTACTGCAGAGGTTCCTGAGGGACGGACAGACCCACTGAATTTATACAAAGATTGTTGCTAACTTTGTCTTCCATTCGGTGCTGAGCAGGTAGGTCGCAGTGAGCAAGTTTTTATAAACAGTGTTCACACAAATGTCATCACAAGTCATAAAACTAACAGACTTGGTCCAGAGGACGGAGACAGATACCTGGCTGATTTTGGGTTTCTGTGGTTTCTCGTCCAAAGCGGAGCCTGTTCCCTGGGGGGCGGTACTCTCCAGGATATGCAGCAGTCTCTCCGTCTTCCACTCTGTGTCGGGCCCTTCCTCTGCGTCCTCCTGCAGTGGACAGAGAACACCAGAGCTCCGATAATCAGAAATTATCTGATTGGTTGAGATACAACGTAGTGGGCGGAGCCACAGAACCACCATTTTTATACAAGTATAAAACTACTTCCAGTTATCAGTTACAGCCACAGGTCATTCTTCATTTTGCTCATAAGGACCAGGGCTATTGGTATGTTGAGCCACAGTGAGAAAGAACAATTGGTTGGTGTGCTAGCCTCACATAAACAATGGGCGGGGCACCATCGTTCCACTGGGACTGACAGGGTTTCATTCACTCAGTATACATATACATCAATTGGACTGGACAGTGAAGCTGTTCTTCTTTTCATTCATATAATTTTCATACAATGTTGGGTTGTTTTTGAATTTACTAAACATGCTTAGTGAAGGACCTGAATACTTCCACCACTGGGTGGTCTGAGCAGCAGAAGGTAAATGAGTTGTCTGCCCGTTCTGGATTAAAACCAGAATCATCTTCCCTCTCTGGAATACAGCTCTCACACATGTTATTAGATCCCAGAGCTGAAAGTCTGCAAGGTTTCATTTCAGGCAATGAGACGCTGCAGCGGGAACTAAAACAGGTCAGCACCGTGTTTTTACCTCCATGATGTGTTTGAGAATGATGACTGCTTCCGACACGATGGCCTCCAGCTTCCCCCTCCTGCTCCTCTCCCCCTGTAGCTCGGGCCCCAGCTGACGGGCCTCTTCTGATTTTTGACGGCACTCCTCCGACACTGAGACCAGGGCCTTTCTGAAAATAAAACACAGACAACAACAGATCGAGCACTCAGGAGTATAGCTCAGTGGCAGTGTGTATGACTGCACATCAGTCTCTGGTTCAAGTCCTGATGCCCCCTGAATCAGAATTATTCATGTTTCAATCCTTCAGTAATGTAGCTTGCATTGAAACAGAGAGGGATGCAACTTTTACCTGAGTTCCATTTCTTTGGCCAGCATGTGCTTGTGGGTGATGTTATGGTCTTTTAGCTTCACCTCCAGCTTCTGGCACTTCCTCTTCTGCTTCTTCATCTCCTGAACAAGGAAAGATGTTGAATGATTGGAGGACAAACTGAGAGATGTTTTCTCAAATATCAGCTGACTGGGTGCTGATGATGATATAGATTTGCCATCAGAGTATTATCATTTATTAGCCACAAGCTATATACATGTCACAAGGAAAGTTTCAAAAAGATGAATAAATAGTTATTAAGGCTGCAGCTTTGTGTTTGAAACATTTGTAGATTTATTTTGCCTCAATCATTTCAAGTGCTCTGAGGTGCAGGTGTATCATTATAAATTTTAGTGACATAAGATCCCTTTCCATTTTGTTCTTGGTTGTTTTATTGAGTTATCTGTTGTTAAAGGTCAAAATATTTGACAAAACATCTGAAATATAAATCGCATGCCTTTACAGTTATAGTAGTAACATTTTTATAGACTTACAAATTCCACCCACTATAAAGTGTGGTGGAAAAAATGAGAAAACAAATTAAGAAGAATAATAAAGAAGAATGACAAGCTTTTTGTGTAAAGAAAATCTGTAGGCTAATTTTACCTCCATTTCAGTGATGGGTGCAGCAAGTGTGTCAGAAGTTTAAAGGAAAGGTTTACATGTCCGTATGTACGGTGAAAGAGTTTTTGTTCACTTTGTTTCTCCTGTTCTTACTGTCCACAGGGAGAAATGCAAGTAAGATGTAAGTGATGGGAAAACAGGCCTCATTCTGGGTAAAACATATGAGGCTTCAGCAGTGTGCCATATATAGACAGGTCTTCTAGAACATACAAAATTCTCTATTTGTATTTCTGTCTATCTTAGAAAGCAAAGAATGTTGTATTAAAAAGACAGTATGTTTGAAAGAGACCCACTTGATACCCACACCGGCTGCTGTTGCTTACACTGTAGACTGTAGACCTCAGCTCAGCTTTCCACAGAATAAGGACCTTGGAAGCTACATATACACAGAGATCCTAACTAGACCTGTCACTCATTTTTGGAGGAAACATTGTGGAAGAATGGCACTGAGGCTTCCTCACTGGTTGTGGGCTTTACCTGTGTGTCACATACAGTAGCACATGTAAACTCAGGCAGATGAATGGAAATTTAAAACTTTCTGAGTACTAGTACTATGTCACGCAAGTGCAACTTTTTATGCACGCTATTCTCTCACAAACACCAGGGAAAAAAAGTGCTGTCAATAGACACAGTGATGCTGTGGTTAAATGTTGGGGGTATAGCTCAGTGGAGTAGAGCATTTGACTACAGATCAGGAGGTCACTGGTTCAGGTCCAGATGCCCCCTAGTTCCTTAGTCACACCACAACTGTCGGATTGCTGCCGTGTAATCAGGGATCATTGCCTGTCACATAAATAGCACCTTTCAAAAACAGAAATCTAGGAATCATGGAAATCTAATACATTTGGCCAATGTATTAGTAAGTTAATGGTTTTGCATTTTGTTGTCTATTAAAGTAGTACACTAAAATAAAGTGGAGAATTAAGTATGGACTGAAACTGTGTAATTCAAATGGTGAAATAAGAAATAACTTACCAGAAATAGAAATATACTCACTCAGAGCCCCCTTACCTGACATGACCAGATATTTAGCCTGCTTGATATTTTTCGGAACTCTGTGAGGTATCGGCTCGGATGGCCCGGTTTGTGTCTCTGATCAGATCAGTGAACGCAGATTTGCCTTTGATCTGGGGGCTTTTGTCAGCCATCTCCAAAATATACCAAGTGGTAAATCAGGGCTTTGATTCTGTAGTGTGAGCTCAGAATGAGCCTGATTTATGCCACTTAACGACAGACATACTTCCAATGTCCAAATGGTGTCTATGTCCCAGATGGTAAACATATAAATAAAATGTTTGGCAAGCTAGCTACATCGGACTATAGACTATAGACTTCTATAGGACCATAGAAATCCAAGACACACAAGTCTCGCTGGAAACATGTCACAGAAGCTTGAAAAGTTGACTTGAAAAGCAGAGATGCTACCTTTTCACATTTTTGAAAAATGTTCTATAGCTATCTTTCTGCTATGACTTTTGCTGAATAGCAGCCGCTGTGGAAATAACGGAATAGTTACACATGTTCTATCACTGAAACACTGAAGAAAGTTTCCAATGAAAGACAAAGTGTGGGGATGTAGCTGAGTGGTAGAGCAGTTGTGGTCTCCTCTTCAAATCCCCCCTAAGTTACACCACTTCTATTCCAAAACTGTTGATAGTTGTCCTCTTACCTTCTTGTGGGTAGATATCTCCAGCCCAGTCTTTCTCAATTCTTCCTTCACATTGTCCCTCTTAATGCAAAGATCACTCTCTCCAGCTCGTATGGCATCAGTCTCCTTCTGGATGAGCGTGTTATAATTGAGCAGGAACTCGATCTGCACCAACCGCTCGCTGTGCTGAGCTCTCTCCTTCTGAAGAATGGTTAAGGTCTTTGTCTTAACAGTATCTTCCACTGTCTTCTGCATGTCCTCCTTCATGCTGTAGTTGGAGGACAAGAGACGGTACGGGTAAACATTTACTGTTTGCTGACCAACATTTTAAAGCAACAGTTAACCCAACATCAAAAAAGGAGATCAGCATGAGAAGAAAAAGAATGCGATTCTGTCATAGACTTCACTTTTCCCTCTCCAACTTTGCTGCCATCCTCAGGCTGCTGATGGCAGCTTCATGCTCTTCCTTCTGACTGACCACCTGCTTCTCTAAAGACTCCAGGCCAGACAGCTGTTGCATCAGCTGTGCCTTCTGCTCCCCTGGGGGAGGACAGGAGAGTTATCAAGGGGAGAAGAGGATGCTTCCCACAGTATACTTCACACAAAGTGCTTGGAACAGTGTTCTCAGACCCCCTCCTAACACACCAGGCTGTGGTCATAGATTATGAGGCGGCCCATCAAGCGCTGCAGTCGTTTACCTTCATGCAGATCTACCTTCATCTGTTTGCAAAGTTACTTTGTAAATTTGTGCCAAATGCCAAACACTTAATAAATCGCTTAATCAATAATGAAATAATAAGTATAATAATATATAATAATAATAAGTAGCAGCTTCATTGCTGACACTGAAATCGCAAATCAGACAAATTGAATTCATCCTAAGACGCTGCGAGATGAAACAACTACATACTGTGTGACAGACATTTGTCCAGTGACACACTGCCTCACCCTGCATCTTGGACACTGAGTGAAGTTCATCGATCCGCTCCTGTAGCTCCTGAATCTGCTGGCAGTGCTGCAGCTTCAGGGCCTCTCTGTCCTGCTCGGCCACCTGCCGCTGACCCTCCAGCTGCTCGCTCAGCTCCTCCGCCTTCCTTTCTTTTGGAACCAGGGAGCGTTTCAGGGACTCAGTGATGTCTTTTTTGTCCTTCTGCAGCGCGTTGTATCGAGAGGTGAGGTCCTTGTTCTGTTTCTCCAACTCGTCACATTTAAGCTGGTACCTGCAGGATGAGGAGGAACACGTGGAAGTTTATACTGTATGCAAGAATCTACTAAGATAGTTCTTGTAAATACAGTATTTCAAATAAAAATCAGCTAACGGTAATTATATATTTATATTATTACAGCCAAATGTTTTTCTTAGGAAATGTTTTTCACACACATTTAACATGGTGGCAGTGGTAATGATGTCAAAGTCTATTTCATGTGGAGAGAACATCTGGAGGGACACCAACTGCTGCGGATGCTACCATAGCTAACATCACCTAGCCTATGCAGATAAAGCAGTTTTATATCAGTTATAGTTTATAAGTTTAGATAAGAGACAAACACTAACACATACCTGACTACATATATCATCATTTGTTTAAATAAACTATTTTATATACCCCCAAATGCAAGGCAGGTCTGCAGTGTGACAGTCTCACCTCTCCAACTTCTCATCCAGATAACTGATTTGGATCAAATAGAAGGACTTCTCCTTTTCGCAAGAACCGATTTTATCCGCCATAGTTACGTTACCGGTGCTATTTGTCTTTTTCCTCTATATTCGTTGGCTTTGTGTTGTTTATCTGCGCTCTTCTAATCCGTCTTTCAGGGTGTTTTTCAAAGACAGCTCAAACAAAAATCTAACGTTTACTAACAAACTATCTTAGAATGCTACGTTGTTGCTAGGGAATGCTGCCTTCAGGGACTGCTCCGAAAGTTCTCCCCTTTTCAAAAACAAACTGACCATCATCATCTGTTCAAACAACAATTATTATTACTATTCTCACTGTGTATGTCTGTGTGACATGTTTTTCTCGTTTTCCCTCGTAGCACTTTTGAATCTCTTTATAAATACACTGCTTTATTCTTAATAAAGAATAATAAGAGAACTACTCTGTATTACATCAGCTACATAAAGAAAATGTTAATTCAGCTGAATGAAATGCTAATTCTGGTACAGGACCTGACCTCAGAATGGAGAAATAAAACCCAAACATTGCTGTGTGGATGATATAACAGCAACATCAACATGACAACAATAACAGACAAATATAAATATAAATATGCACAGATGAAAATCTGTAATTGCTCAGTTCATAGTCAAGGTCTGTTATATAAATGAACAAAGCAGAGAGGTGATCTAAGTGATCAGTCTAATTTCTGTTTTCATATGCAGCAACATTCACCGGTGACTTGAGAGGAACAGATTTGCATGCTGGGTATTTTCATTTCCTCTGTAAGGACTCTGGGCATTTCATTTTGCTCCAAAGCCGAGAGGAATGCACCAGGATCTATCTCCGCTCGGCCTCTGCAACCATGTTTGGACCTGCTGATCTTAAGCTGTACGGCACGGCCTTCCTGCTGATCCTGGGGGTGCTCGCCAACGTCTTTAACCTCGGGGTCATGCTGGTGCAGCAATGGAGGTCCGGAGGTGTAAAAACCGTGGCTGCCGTTATCTGCTTCATCTCGCTGGGCAACGTCTTGCTGCAGATCTCCACCTTCGTGCTCGTGGCCGCAGTCTGGGCCGGGGTGCTCTGCGGGCCGGACTTACCTTTCTTCTTCTGTGTCGTCCTTTTCGCGTGGCTCAGCAGCAGCTCTGTCAGCTTCTGGTCTGTTGCCTGGCTGAGCGTCCTTTATTGCATGAGGGTTTTGAGCTTCTCTTCAGTTCTCTTCAGAGCTCTCAAGGAGAACATCTCAACCATCCTGAATGTTGCCCTGGTGGTGACCTTACTGACCTCCTGCGTCATGTTCTCCCCTTTCTTCTACCTCCATTTCCGAAGCAAAACTCTTGTTCTAAACATGACGGAAAAGGCTGCTTGCGTCATCAGGAAACCTCTGTTCCCCCCCTGGGTCGATGTAAATGTGTATGTGATCATCTTCATCTGCTACCTCACCCTGATGCCCTTGATGATCATGCTTTCGACTTCACTGAGGCTGGTCGTCTACCTCTGCAAACACACCTTGTCCATGCAGAAGAAGCAGAGCAGCTCTCCCACAGCAGAGTCCTACCTGCTCGTCTGCAGGCTGACAGTGGCTCTGGTCTGGGTTTACCTCACCACGCTGCTCACCATCTCCCTCTACTATTTCCATGCTATCTTTGCTTCGGGGCTGAGCGCAGACATGCTCTTCCTAGGCTTGTCGTTTTATTGCGTTGCTTCTGCGAGCCTCCTCACCTGTTCCAACAAAAACCTGAGAGAGAAGCTCAGAGGGTTCTGCAGGGGGAAGAACACAAACACACTGACCAGGAGTGCTGAAGATAAGAGTGGAGTAACAGCAACCGTTTGACTGAGATTTAGCTGAGAAACATGTACTGTCTTATGCATCTCATTTAATAATCTTCACTCTCAATGATGATGTTTGTGATGTGAAACAGGGTTATAGTGAATTACGCTGCACTCATTAAAGTCTGTGTAAAGCAAATTCAGTGATCTCTCTCTAAACACATTATACATGGCATAAAATAGTTGTTGAAAACATTATAAAAGACTGTGAACTATGTACTGAATTGTGGTGTTTCACTGTTTTCCTCCGTTCCACCTGTTTGGGGTTCAGGATTTTTTTTGGGAGGTGGGTAAAAATATGGCTCAATGACGCACTGGGGCCGTACTTAGCATAACCCCGCTTTAACGGTATAAAAATATACTGCACGCTAGCATTAGCAGTTCTCCCGCTCGAGTTATTACAATCTTTACCACCTTTTATTATCAGCCACAACCTTCGTTAGCCAGCTAAAGTATGCCATCAACATCCCGGAAGTGCATCTTTCGAGGAATGTGAGAAATTCCATTTAAATTTCCGAAGGATGATGCTCTGAGGAAGAGCTGGATGGATTTTGTGAAGAGCTACGTTGATGAAGAGGTGAGAATCATTCCGGTTAGTTTCACCAACTTTCATCGGACACAACTGGGATTAGATCATCGCACCTCCCGGACATCATCCCCCCGTCCCACTGACACCTCAGGCGCCAAGTGTAAGTTACTCTCTGTGCTTATAATTCTATGCATTTTACAACATTGTAAGGAGATGCAACCCACTAACCTGATTTTACATCATGTAGCATGAGTTTTATGCATAACGTTAGGGAAATACACTGCTAATCTAGTACTAATGTTTGTGTGCATCAGTGCAGCTATGGCAAGGAATTATATGTATATTTGGATTTATGTTTGTGGGTTATGGCAAACATGAACCAACACAAGAAGGGATGACAACCTGGTTGTGCTTTCCCAGGTATCCCCAGCACCAGGAAACAAAACATCTATAGGCCAGGTAGTGAGCACGCCTGTAGTGACAAAACAAGAAAATGTCATGTGATTCATTAAACATAACACACAATAACAACCTAGGTGTCTTACATTCTCTCTGTTTTGGTCATGTCTTACAGAACAGGACGCCAGAAGATGATTCATCATCAACCTGCATTCTGCCTCATATCATTTTGGCTGTATGGATGGACAAGGACATGGACAGCAGTTTTTCTTTCTGCATATTTGTGCAAATGCACTGAATGACTCATCTTCTATTGTTTGCTTGTGTCATTGTCAGTGGTGGGTGAAACTGTAATTCCACTCCAATTACCCAAATTTAAATGGTTTACATTGGCCCAATACAGTTCAGTCTGTTGATCAGTAATTATTCATTAAGCTTGGTTACCATTTACATCCGTGTGGTTCTTCTTCTACTGAATCCTACTGTCTATTAGCCAAGGTAATAAGTGTAACTTTCAGGTAGGAATGCCACTTTTTGCTGCTCTCTGGTGGTGGACAGATACAGATATATTGGATGGCCTATAGCAACACTAAAATAAAATATGTAGCTGACAGCTGTGTGCATGAATAAGAGAATTAAAGCTGAATGTAAGAAGTTGCCTTACTTAGTAACTAATTACTTTTATTTAAATGAAAGCAGGAGGGTGACAACTTCAAACCGACAGACATCATCAGTGTTTGTTCCACCTCTGTTAACTAACAGCCTATAAGCACCCAGATGCCATGGTTATTGGTCTTTGCTATTGTATGTGTTCAAATTTATTTACTGCTGGATGTTCATCTCCCTACATATGTACTGCTTAGTGCTTTAGCAAATGTGGTATTCACTGATTGTGACTGGTGGAAATTGCTGCTCTCCTTTGTTTAAATATAAAAGCACCACATGAATGCAAGCTGCTTATTATTAACACAGAGATTCTTTATTATTAGTCTAACATCCTTACACTGTGTTTGTCTAAATATTAAAAGCAAACCGGTTTCAGTGCCCATTGATCCTGTTGATACTGTAAGATTGTGAACCTTCCCATAAATTATTCTTTATATGGATTCCTGTACAACTGCAAACTGTGTGACTACAGATGTCAACAATGTGAGTTTTTAGCAGTGATCACAGACCTGTAGCTATGGGATGTTCAGTGTAGTCACATTAATATTGATAATTGCAGAAGTTTTTGCACCTATATATTTGGCCATATACCACAAAACTGTAACAACTTTTATAATGTGAACATCTATGGATACCAGCAACTGACAGATAAATGATCAAGTTCTGATTCATATTCTGATATATATATCGGCCAGTTTCATATTTTACCAGCATATGTCTACAGTGCTAATTTCCCACAGTGGTTGTATAACACAAAGCTAGCTGTAGTCCCTTTATGCTACACTGTAAAACCAGATAAATTCATTTAACTCAAAACATTGTTGAAACTGATTACATCAAAATCTTTAAGTAACACAAACTCCGATTTTTAGGTTAAAAAAGACTTTTGATTGAGCCACTTTAATTAGTCATTTTAAGTCGCACTACCTTAGTTTTGTAAGTTACAGAAACTTTACTGAATTAATTACTTTACGAGGTATTTTGTTTTCACAGTCAAAATAAAAATTACAAAATTAAATTAACCTCACTTGTTTTAATTAAAAAAGCTACTTGATCGAGAATGTTTTTTTAACATGCAACATTTTGTTAGTTTTATATTTTGATTTAATCAGTTTCAACATTTTTTTGTTAAATTAACTTATCTGGTTTTACAGTGTACTCACCAAACAGAAATTATATAAATATGTAAATATGTCATAAAAATACATGTTTAACTTACATCAGCAGAGGATGGTTGTGACTGTACAGACAAAAATGATTTAAAACTGTCAAAATATATTGCTAACTGTGTTCGCGCTGTTTTAAACAGCAGCATCCCCCGCCCCCTCCCCCGCTGTTGCGTCATCTCCGTTAGCTCCAATGGACCAATGAGTTTACAGCAACGGCGGGACGCGGAGCCTCTCAGTGGCTCCCGGAAGTTTGCTTCCTCCTCTAGCAGCAGTAGAGTTACAGCAGAAAAGACCTTTTGTGATGCACTTTTAATGACCTTAAAAGTATCAGATTGTATATTATCAGCACATCTGAATCAAATGAATATGTGTATTAAAGCATGTGAGTGGATTATACCCCAATCATTTAGTAGATTTGGGACTCTGACAGATAATAAATAAGGTTAGCATACTCATTGTAAATTCTGTTCTGATAATAAGCTAACGCTTTATCATCCAGTTGTTTTTCTCCTCTCTGTGTCAGTGGGGAAGCCTTGACATGCTATTCATGTTTCTGAGTTAATTATTGATTTATTTAATTAATTTGTTGTGGTAAATGTGTATGTGCATATAAAAAGAAAAAAAACATACAAAAAATATTATATATGTTCAAGCCTAAGAGAAAGTTCTGCCTTTTCCACCAAAAACAGACAAACACATATGTATTGATTTAATTATATTAATTATATATTGTCATACACTTATATTATTATATTATACTATATATTATATTATAGAAATTATTTTAGAAAAAATGTTTGGAATACTCATATAGTATATAGTTCAGGTATTAACTATTTATTATTTTAAGAGAAAATAGTATAAAAACAGTATAGATATACTGTAGATGTATAAGAATTATAAACAGAAAATATTAACTTCCAGTGGATTTCCCAAGGCAACACACTGCTACTAGCCCACTGACCTGTTGTGCAGTCAGTTGACAATTAATGGCCATTGTCAATGGTAATTGTCAGTCTCCTTGTCGCATTTTGACAGTATATATAATTGACAGAGCTTCTTTTTGTAATTATTCAAATTTTACAAGGTGGTTAATAACACTTTTTTATCTGTTGTGAGAAACTCAGAAATCATATTTATTATTGCTTTACACTTTACCTTGACTTTAAGACTCTTCCTAACATTTTGTGTGTAGTTTGTAACAGAGCAGTCTAGTAAATGTGGTATTACTGCAAAGCCAAATAACGCCACAAGGTGGTGCCTCCTTTTCTTTTAAAGTGATCCTATACTGGGGTTAAGGGTTGTGCACAAACCTGCAGTTACACTCTCTACGTCCACAAAAGAAACCTGTCATCAGTCACAGTTGGTGCAGGTTAGGCAGTCTATGTTCTACTGCTCAAAAATAAAGTGGAATAAGATACATAAACCTAAATTCAAAAAGTTTTTTTGTAACATTTCTATAATGTTACTGAAAAATAGTGAGGGATAATGTCATTTAAAGTTTTGAATGAATGAATGTTGCACACAAAAAAAAGTTAAATGCTCATGTTTTTCAAAGTTCCCATTATAGTAGGTGCTTGTATTTGTTGGGTTAATTTGACTTGCTGTATCTGATTTCTCGAAATGTATTCACCAAAACCTATCCATATTCACATAGATATTTCCATATGTAGCCTGTTGGTAACATATGGTACTGTAAATAGAAAAACTATTATACTTAAGTGTAGCCAAGCCACGGAGACAGTAAGTTGTTTAGCAACATGTAACAACTGAATGGCTGTAACAGCTCAACTATAATGGGATTTTGAATGTGTTTGTGGATGCTTAATACAAGCTCTGATTATCACAGGCCCATGATATATTTATGTGGTTTGTTGTATGAGATAATAATGTAGTTTCTCTTAAAGTGATTCTGATTCTGAAGTTTATTTGGAATGGTACACTTAGACCTGCAAATGGTACAAATGGCCCTAAAATGGAATTTGGGGGACAGTATTACCCCCTGTGCTTGATTTGATTCAGCTTTCTAGCACTAATACTATCTAGCCACATTCTGCTAGATTCTTATTTTATAATCATTTCTATGAAAGACTTACATTACATTGATTTTGGACCTAAAAAGGTCTTAAATATGATTTTGACAGATCTTGCATTCAGATGTTGGATTAGTGAAGTTAACATTAATTGATTTTTCAGTCTCACTTTTTAAATGTGTTTTAGGGGAAGTTTTGAATTAATCATGCTGTAACAACTACAAAATTACTGCTGTAAAATTACTTATTTTGTCCATTATTCTCCCAAAACTCAAAAAAGGGACAATGTTACTGGATCAGTTGTGTGTTTGTTGTGAAGGCAAGTAGTAAATAAATATTTTTTGAGTCATTATTGACCATATGATTAAATGTGCTACAAACATTAGCTTTGTTAAAGGTTAACTGAGCTTAGGCAACCTATGTAGAGGTTAGGTCTAGAAACAAGACAGTTTGAGCTCAGTAAACAGTTCAGTCAGCGGCAACAACATTTTGCAACATATTCACTGTATTTTATTAGTCGAATAAAGTAGTGAAATTACACAAGCTGTGATATCAGGATTACACCAGCACATGTTTCAGATGGGTTGGTAAAGTTGGTCGTACCCTTGCCTCTACCCTTGTCCTTGCCTTCTGGCATGAGGCTGTATCCTTGAGCACAAAGATAACCTGTGAAATTCCTGCTGGCTGCCTTCACGGTGGTGATGATTTAGGGGACAGTTGGTGACGCATTACAGGGGAGTGTTATGTACACGGAGAGGAGCAACAACAGCTGATTGAGCAATAGACAGCCAATAATGTACTGTACAACTATCTGAAACAGAACAACAGTATAGTCTACGGTGATAAATACATCCAAGGAAAACGACCAAATCAAACGTTTTAAGAATACTGTTGTGTGCATATAATTATTATGAGTTAGCTTTTAGTTCAGTTTTTATGCAGTGACAATTGACACACTGTTCCAATAACATCCTGTTTAGAACAGAAATATATATGGTTCAGTTTGTCCTAGAGCTGACTATTGGCCTTTGCCTTTGTAGGTAGGGTAAAACACTGGACCTTGTATTGTATTTATGATGTCCGGTGATTTCTTTGCATCATCTGTAGAGTCACAACAGGGGACGAAGGAAGGTCAGCACCCTGGACAGTGACCTTTCCCGCACCTGAAACATAACAGCCCAGACTCTGTAAGTATATGGCTATTATAGTCTGTCCACTAAATGATAGAAAATCCCTCTGTAATGACACACAGTGTATTCCTGGACCAGACCAACTACGAGGTGAACCATGTAACTAAAGACTAAACATCTTTTAAAAAACAGAAGGAAATTCACATCCTATACAGTGTGTGTCCTTGTGAATGTCTATGTGAATTAACATAATCAATGCATGTGCACACAAATTCTGAAGACAAAACTCACTGTTGTACAACACTTTAGTTTTTCTTTCAGTTTTAACAATGTCTCAACATTGCTCTGGCTATCTCCAGTTATGATACTCAGGAGTGTTATTAGTGTCACCCAGGATTATAAGGGAAAGATAGGATCAGTGATTTCAAAGAAGCAATTGCTAGAACTTTTTAAGAAAGGCTAACAGGCAGCCTCTCATATTCTTAAAGGTTCAGTGTGTAGCATTTAATGGCATCTAGTGCTGAAAGTGCAGATTGCAACCATTTAAAAACAGCTCAGGCCTTCAAGCGTGAAGAAAAATAATTTCTTTGGGGAAATTCTTTTTGTCACTCGCTGTTGTACACACATAGGCCCCGAAATACAATCACACACACAGGGCTTATAGACATGTTGAGAAATGGTGGAGTGACAGGCTGCCACAGAGCAGCGCTCTGGAAACACTTAGGTGTGCAGAGGTCCAGCTGACAGGCCACCTACAAGCAAGTGAAGAAGTTTGAGAATTCTCAGAGCTGGGGGTTAAATATAATGCTTGTGGGCACATACTGGGTGTGCTGAGTACATACTATAAATACTGTTGGCACACAGTACTTATAGACACATGAACTAATGCGTACAAAAGATCACAAGATTATATTTTCAGATGGAGCTAGTAGCAATACTGTACAATATACAAAGAAAGACTCTTTTCCCTAAATAGTGTCCAGAGGACCAAAAAAAACCTCAAAACTATTTCTGTAGAAAATCACAGATTACGAAATTAATGTTTAAGATTTAAAAGTGTAAAGATAGATTATATTCCTTAGGGGCTTGCCCTTTTCATTCTTCTGTTATTTAGGTCCTCCCAGTCCATCTGTCGTTACATCTGTTGTAATATATAGGCAGCATACTCCACCAAGGTCTCCATTTATGAAACTACAGTAGATATACTCTGATAGCAACACCTGCTGGATCACAGACTAGTTCTCCACTTGTTTTCACAGGTTTATACCTATTTGCACCAGAAATGTTGCAATAATAGAACAACAGACAAATTTATGGAGTCACTCAAAAATGTCATCATATCTGCACACTTTTAGTTCAAACTTTTCAAAACGACATACTATTTGCATATTATATAGTTGCAGATGGAAAAGGCAGCAATACTGTACAGGCCTCAAACAATATGAACACAGAACTACGGTAAGTTGTACCATCTGTACATACATACAATTATTACAGACCTAATCCTGTCTTATGTCATAGACTATTCAATTCAGAAACACTTTATATAACCCTGAGGGCAATTTCTGATCTCTAATTTTTCACTTTTAATACATACATACACTTTTAATCAACGAGAAGAGTCTTAGTCGATCCCCTTTTCTTTAGTTGGTTGTCACCGGGATGAAAGTATCAGAGGATTGTTTTAACACAGACTTTTTCTCTTGTAAAACAGGGAGTGTGTGTGTGTGTATGTGTATGTCACATATACTAACCACTAACTACTAGCTGCCATTAGCTTAAACATTACTAGTGTGGGACCAAGTGGGGCAGGCACAGCCTCCAAGACCAACGGAGGCCAGTGGTACTAACTGTTATACATCATGAATCCTTTTGATAAGTCCGCAAGTATTTATTTTTATGAAGTTGGAAGTTATTTATTCTGTGGAGGGTAGTAAAGAAGGAGTTTTAACTGGTTGTGAATCAGTCTCAATTTAATACTGATTCCTCTATATGACCTACATAAACAAACAAGACCATAAGTGAGAAGATGGCTCAAAACACTCCCGCTTTTGTCCACAGGGGCTGCCAGAATAACACAAAGTCAAAGTTCCTTGTTGTGAGTAATATTAGTACTTCTAACACACATTTTCAGTAGGTAACCTTTTAACTGGAATTTGGAATATTATTTATACCTTAATGGCATCCATGATAGAAGTTCTGAAGGATGTCAAACACTAGGCAGGCCCTGATATACCAGGGCCTTATCAGTGAACCTTGCTTAGCCTAAGTAACAAGAGGAAGGTCTTTAGTGTGTCCTCCATGCAGTTGACCTACATGATGTTGGCAATGTGTTTGCCTTTATCCCAGAATTCTGAACTCCTTTACTTAGCTCTAATCTATTCCAGGCGTTAGTGGAGCAGTCAGCCCTCCATCAAAGGTCTAATTCTCAGCTGTCCTGAGTCCTTGTATCTCTGACTTTTGCAATCACATGTACGCACAAGGGAAGGTGTGAGGCACCTTGTCTCTCTTAAGTTTGAAATCTGAGCCAACTGTGGTTTCAGATGAGGTTGCTATTGTTAGAATGCTTGTTATTCACTGAGGGTCACTTGAGGAGGTGTTGAGTATTGGACCCTGCCTCCATATGTCCTTCTCTTGTCTTGTCATTTCTCCTGGTCTCCATTCAGACAATGAAGTTAGTGCTTGGTACATTTGCACTCAGAACTGGAAGACTCCTATTGATTTAAGCTTTTTCTGCTTATGAGGACCGAACAATGTGCTTAACAGGACAAAAAGGTAGGGTTTGAATTACATTATATTTCAGTGAAAATTGTTCCCTCTGTGAACTGTTATGTGTAAAATACGCTAAATTTACAATTTATGCACATTGAATATCCAGTTTGATATTGTGTATAATGTTACTTGAGCTATTTTAGTTCTTGAAAATGAACAGATAGTGAAGAAATATGTAGGTGAGAGATTTGCAGGGAGATAAGTAAGGCCTACAATTATGGCATGGTTGTCCTTTTTTAAGAGAAAATCTTATCCTTTCTTTTCCATTATAACCTTTGCTAGTAAGTTAAAATATATTTACATAGCGCCAAAATTATTAGATATTGAATTTTGTATTAGTGTGCTTAATGATTAGCCTGATGTTTTCTTAAAGGTTTATTGTAATACATTTTAACAATTTGCTGATGTATGGAAATGTCACTTTATAATGTAATAACTTGTAATAATGTTGCATATTTCCTCATCATTTCAGGATTTTTTAAATTTCTTTTCTAAAAAATCACAGGCTTCATGGAGATACAACACACATCTTTGAATTGAGATGCCTTCCTCAAGAGAATCTCATAACAGGTGAACCTATAAGAAAATGAATTGCTGCTTCTGATTGCAAATAGTGTCTACATTGTTGATGACACTGTAACATGTCCATAATACTGTCGGTCGATAATCAGACAATTGTCTATAAAAGATTTATTTTTATGTATAAGAGGTCATTAGGTTATGTACAGGAATTAGGCTGTGGTTGACCAAAATTACTGTATATATTAATGGCCAGTCAGACTACATAGATTTTCATATTCAGCACAGCACTGCTTATTATGACATGATTTAAACCTCTGTTTAACCCTCTCAATAGGCCAGATTATTACCTAAAACTAATTAGGTAGAAAAGCCCATCCACTGTCCAGCATCCAGTGAAATCTGTTTTGAAAAGATAGTTCCAGCAGGACTTTAACTATTCAGTTATTATTTGTAGCCAAAGGCACTGTATGCCTCGGTCTTCCAGTTACATCAAGGATGATAGCTTATAAACTCACAAGCATCACTTGACTGTTGCCTATACAATGATTAGTACTATAAAGGACTTTGCTGACCTCTAATGGTTTAACTTTTCAACTAGCTGCAGTTATGTAGAAGCTGTGTCCCTGCAACGTTACATGACATCTGTTTGTGCAAGAGAGCACACTTCTGACTACATCCAACCCCCACATCAGTTTTGCTGGGTGTGGTCAGAAGTACAACATAGCTATCATTAGTAACATATCTTTATTCGGTTAATTTGCTACAATTGTTTATAAAATGGATACAGCTAATGAAAATTCAGCCATTCTAAAGTTGCTTTAATGAACTCTTACAACCATTAACATACTGTTCAACTTTTTATCACCAACCATTAAATCTTTATGGAAGATACAGGCCAGAATGTAATGCACAGTTTGTACTGTATACTCCAATCCACATTTTTATTAACCAGATCCCGTTTGAAGTGCTCGTTAGAGTTGTGCAATGACACGTGTAGCTGCATTCTTACATATTTTATTTAGAGGTTATAATTCTGACATAAATCCTACAATTTGAATAAGAAAATACATTTTGATTATGTAATAGTAATGGTTGCAACCCTTCTTAAGTGTCAATTCAATTGTACTAATATTTGGGTAAGTTAAAAAAAAGCCAAGGCACAGTTTGAGATGCAGATTAACTTTATTCTACTGAACAACTGACATGCTTAGGGAGACACTCTTCAGACATCAGGTGCCTCAAACAGGAATTTCATTCCATGAGCTTCACTCTTCGTCATGTCCTTTCTGAAATAAGAGAAAAATAGGTAAACAGTTAAACACATTTCTTTGTTATTGAAGATATACATTTTTATTCATTTATTTGCAGATTTAAATGCATTATGATTTGTGATCAAACCTTTAGATTCACTCTCCTACATATCAGGAACATTTGTGCACATTTAACCTTTTTTTTTTAATTAATGGGTTCTGCTAGCAATATGCTGACTGGCTCATAACAGTACTTTAGTGTTTTCTCTGTAATTCCATTCTTCTGACAGGACCAAAGAATATACTACTTTTAATATACAATTTATACTATATATTACTATATATTTTAATACATTCAATTTGTGGCAGCAGTAGTGCCATATTTACTAAAACCCTAATTCACCCAGAACAGGCACATGCAGTGTGTCCAACACAAAAAAACTAACCTTTGACCCCACATCACGACTCTTGGCACGTAGCTTGTTGACCTGAGACTCAGCAATGTCAGCTCTCTCTTCAGCCTCATCAAGCTCATGTTGAAGCTTGCGGAACTTGGTAAGATTACTGTTGGACTGTTCCTCCTGCAGAACAAAAAAGACAATATCCTCATCAGTGCCTGACATGTATCTTTGTATTTAAAATACAGCTGATGCTGTGGGCTTGTAGGTTATGTGTTTTTTATCTGTGTTAGTTTCTCTAAAATGCTAAGACCACTTACTGCCTCCTCCGCAGCTTTCTTGTAGGATTTGACCTTTAGCTGCAGCTTGTCTACCAGATCTTGCAGACGGGCAAGATTTTTACGATCCTCCTCTGTCTGAAAAGAGAAAAGAACAAGAGAATTTTAATTTTGAATAGAAACTACATTCTCACTTTTCCACAATTTCCGAAATGAACTGAAACTTGCCTGATAGGTCAACTCTTTGATTCGTCTCTCATACTTTCGGACTCCCTTGATAGAATCGCTGGATCTTTTTTGTTCAGCCTCCACTTCACTTTCCAGTTCTCTGATCTGTTAAGGGAGTGAAGATTGTATATAAATTTTTTTGTGTGAAATATTTTTATGAAGGCTTTTTATTATGAGGGAAAGTAGAGATTTTCAATACTACCAGCTTTTGATGATTTCGTAATTTTATTAGATTGCTCATTTCATTTCTCAGAAGTTATTGACACTCACCCTGGACTCGAGCTTCTGCACCTGCTTCTTGCCTCCTTTCATTGCGATCTGTTCAGCTTCATCCAAACGGTGCTGCAGGTCTTTGATGGTCTGCTCCATGTTCTTCTTCATACGCTCCAGGTGAGCGCTGGTGTCCTGCTCTTTCTTCAGTTCTTCTGCCATCATGGCAGCGTCAGTAATAGCCTTCTTGGCCTTTTCCTCTGCATTTCTGCACTCCTGGACTGCTTCCTCCACTTCAGTCTGAAGCTGGGATGTATCCCCCTCCAGCTTCTTCTTTTGGTTTAGCAAACTGGTATTCTGGTCGAATGCGAAATTTATTTATAGAATTCCTTAGGAAATTGGCAATAATAGAAAAGAACTGTGCCAGGTCCAATACCTGCACCTTACCTGTGAGTGCAGTAGCTGCACCCTCTCACTAACATCCAGAAGCTCTTGCTCAGCAAGTTTGCGACCTCTCTCAGTTTGTTCCAGAGCAGACCTCAGTTCCTCCACTTCAGCCTGAAGAAGGTTGTTGCGTCTCTCAACAATGGCAATGTTTTCCTTCATATCATCATTGGCTCGCAAAGAGTCATCAAGCTGCAGCTGAGCATCCTGGAAGAGTGTGACATTTATTGTAAAGATAGTTAAATGGAGTGATAACATACTATGTCTATGGTATGCTTTTAAAAAAAGGAAAAAACATACCTTTAGATGTGAATGAACAGCCTTAAGTTGTTTCTGGGCCTCAGCTGCCTGCCTGTTGGCCTGGCTAAGCTGGATCTCCATCTCATTGAGGTCTCCCTCCATTTTCTTTTTTAAACGGAGGGCCTCATTCCTGCTGCGAGTCTCAGCCTCAAGAGAGCTCTGAAGAGTATCCACAATTCGCTGTTGGTTTCTCTTGACTTGTTCCATCTCTTCATCTTTCTCGGCCAGCTTGCGCTCAATATCAGCCTTAACCTGGTTGAACTCAAGCTGGACTCTGAGGATCTTCCCTTCCTCATGCTCCAGTGAGGCCTATCATGAAATAAAGATTTAAAAATCAAATATATGACTAGTCATTACCAATTTTCAAGTCCAGCATAATAAAACGCAGCATACCTCTGCTTCCTCCAGGGCTGTTTGTATCTCAGACTTCTCTTGTTCCAACTGTTTTCGAATCTTCTCAAGCTCATGAATACTTTTTCCACCCTCACCAATTTGCTCAGTGAGGTCAGATATTTCCTCTGAGAAACAAAATGTAAGTTAGTTAGTTGTTAAAGCAAATACAGGTGTAAGCTGGTGTTACCCTTACCCTGCAGATTCTTATTCTCTCTCTTCATGGTCTCCAGATGTTCCAGAGATTCTTCATAGGAATTCTTCAGTTTGAAGAGTTCAGTGCTCAGAGACCTGGCTTCCTTCTGAGAGCTCTCCAGCTCTGTTTGAGACTCCTCGTACTTCTGTTTCCATTCTGCCAAAATCTGAGAGATGGTTTTTAGATGGTTTTAGATGAAGGATCTGAAATATGTCTGCTTAAATGTAATTACACCTTAATTCTTCATCTAAAAGAGCAAAAGAGATACTTGTATTTTAAATCTAACCTTGTCAAAGTTTCTTTGCTTCTTGTCCAGAGCAGCAGCAGCAGCATTAGACCTCTCCACATCCACCATGAGATCTTCAATCTCATTCTGCAGCCTGTGTTTGGTCTTCTCCAGAGAGGAACATTTAGCGTTCACTGCTTCAACAGCCTCCTCGGCATCCTGCAGACGCTGAGCCAGCTTCTTTCTGGATTATGATTGAATTCATTAGAAATTTTTTGTTTTAGTATGATGATGGTTCATTGCTTTTAAACTTTGCAGAGTTGTTTGAATGAAAATAAATTTGACATACTTGGCCTCCTCCAGTTCCTCAGTTCTCTGGATGGCATCAGTTTCGTACTTGGTTCTCCACTGAGCTACCTCAGAGTTGGCCTTGGACATGCTGCGCTGCAGTTCAGCCTTGGCCTCCTGCTCCTCCTCATACTGCTCCCTGAGGAGGTCACAGTCATGACGCGCAGACTGCACTGCATGGGCTAATGCATTCTTGGCCTGAAATGAGAGCATGTCTTAATGCCTCCTTTGCACCAACATTTGATCTGCACTAAATGAGGTCTCAGTGTGTTACCTTGACTTCCTCTTCCAGTTGTCTTTTAAGGTCTTCAATTTGTTGAGTGTAGGATTGTTTTCCTCTCGTGAGTTGAGACACCAGGGAATCCTTTTCCTCAAGCTGCCTTGTAAATTCACCTAATTTTGACAACAGAAAAAAATTAGTACCTCATAATATCCCAAACAAAACACATTGTTCAAATCAAGTGCCTACCATTCTCAGTTTGAAGCTTCGCTTTCTGCATGGTAAAGTCATTGATGGTACGTTGTCCCTCTTCTGACTTTGTTTTATATTCATTCATCTGGTCTTCTAGAGACCTGCACATTTTCTCCAAATTATTCTGAAAACAAAAAGTATTCATATTGGTACATAAACTACTTCAAAATGAATGGAATGTGTCTTAATCTAACATTGTAAAATATTAATCAATCAATGCACAGAAAAACATAATGCAAGTTTTTTACCTTAGCCTTCACAATATGTTCCATATTAGAGACCACATCATCCAGCTCCAGTCTGAGCTCACTCTTCTCTTTCTCCAGTTTCTGCTTGACTCTCTGCAGGTTGTCAATCTGCTCTCCCAGGTCAGCAACACTGTCAGCTTGTTTCTTCCTGAGTGTGGCAGCAGTGGCTTCATGCTGCAGAGTGGCCTCTTCAAGGTCTCTGCGGAGTTTCTGGAACTCAGCCTCCCTCTTCTTGTTCATCTCAATCTGGGCAGCGGTTGCTCCACCAGCTTCCTCCAGCCTCTCACTGATCTCCTCCAGCTCTCTGGACAAGTCTGCTCTCTGCTTCTCCACCTTGGCTCGGGCAGCTCGCTCTGCTTCAAGCTCTTCCTCCAGCTCCTCAATGCGGGCCTAGATCAAAATAAAAGCAAACCGTTAAATTGTATTGCTCAAGTTGTGGTGTTAAAATGTAATATTTATTACTCAACCTATTATATGCTATTTAAATTATTACCTGCAACTCCTTCAATTTTTTCTGGAGCTGGGCACTCATCGCTTGTTCATCTTCTATTTTGCCAGTGAGTTGGCTGATTTCAAAATCTTTCCTGTAGATAAAAAAGATGTAAAATGTACAGTCCATAAAAATGTTTAAATCCATTTTTGTTTTTAACAGTGATCTTTTCATATTACTTTTTCAGCCTCTCTTCGAGTTGCTGCTTGTCATTTTCCAGGTCCATGATACTCTCCTGAGATAACTTTAGGTCTCCCTCAAGCTTTCGCTTTGCTCGCTCAAGGTCCATACGCACTTTCTTCTCTTGCTCAAGGGATCCTTCGAGCTGTGGGCCGTAATATTATAACAATCTCACTTATTTATTATTTATTATATACATATCCACGTGATCTTGTTAAGACTTACATCATCAACTTGCTGCTCCAGCTTAGCCTTGGCCTTGGTCAGAGTGTTGACTTTGTCTTCTTCACTCTGCAGATCATCCAGTGTTTGCTGATGAGCTTCCTGTAAGGCTTTCTTTTCCTTGGTCAGCTTGGCAATGATTTCTTCCAAAGCAGCCAGCTCCTCAGTCAGGTTTTTAACCTACGATGAGTGTAAAATTTTATGAAGAACTTTAACATAGATGTTATTTGGGACAATTCCACAGTAATTCCACAGTAATTAGTGTTTGGGGTACCTTGTTCTCAGTGGCATGCTTCTCTTTCTCCACTTTAGCCAGAGTTAATTCTAAGTCGTCAATGTCTTTCTTCAGCTCAGAACATTCATCCTCCAGCTTCCTCTTCTTAGCAGTTAGTTCAGCATTCATCTCCTCCTCATCCTCCAGTCTTTCTGTCAGCTCTTTGAGTTTTGCCTCCAGCTGAATCTTGCTCTTGATCAGCCCTTCACATCTTTCTTCAGCATCACAAAGATTATCTTGCTCCTGTTATTATTGAAAAGACACAATATTACACATTGGCAGACGTTTGACTTAAATACTTTTTGCAATACTGACTTATTCTTAACATACAGATTGAACTTGAAGCTGCAGATCATTCTTCTCTTGGAGAAGAGTGACCATTTTTTCTTCTAGTTCCTTCCTGCGGGCTTCAGATTTTGCGTAAGCCTCTTTCAGTTTGGTAAACTCTTCCTTCATGTTGGCCATCTCCTTCTCAGTCTCTGCTGACTTTAATAGAGGTTTAATCTTGAAATACATCTTCATCCAGGGCCAATTCTTGACCCCCATGAAGGCACGAATGTTCCACTGGATCACAAGTAATGCATCCCTGCAGATAACAGATTTTCATCATCTTTAAAGTATGCTCTAGCAGAGGAAATTGTGCTTTAGCCTGATTCAAAAATTAGATTTTAAAGCCCCTTTAGGGAGTTTGGCCAAGCTGTGAGTAGGTACCTGCGTTCTACAATCTTCTGGAATTCAATTCTTGCCAGAAGGCCTCGGGACCGTGCTTGGATGCCAGTAATAATTAGTGCTAGTCGGTCATCGCGCATCTCCTCTAGTTGACCCAGAAGTCCAGCTTTGAAGAACACCTTTTTGAATAATGGATAGTCAGTAATAAACATCGGTAATGCAGAATTCATTTTCTCTCAATCAAAATTGTAAATGCTAACCTTGGTGTGCCCCAGTTTGTACTGATTGTGGTCAATATCCAGAGAGCCCAACAGTTTCTCAGCAGCCTTTTTGTTGTCGATGAACTGTCCCTCAGGAATTGCATTAGGGTTTAAAATACGGTATCTGTGGCACAAATACAAAAGATAAAAAAATCTTTTGCTGTGAAAACATCCTGTAAAACACAGCAACTTTTTTGACAAGACCATCCTTTTTTGTCATTGTTCATCAAATGCAAACCTCTGTTTGAAATCTCCATAGAGGATCCTGTTTGGGAAGCCCTTTCTGCAGATCCTGATGCCTTCCAGCACACCATTACAGCGCAGCTGGTGCATCACCAGAGGATTCTCCATGGCCCCAGGAGTCTTGGTCTCATTGGGGATGATGCAGCGTACAAAGTGAGGGTGAGTAGACCTCAAGTTGGTCATCAGCTTGTTCAGGTTCTCCTGTGGAGTCAATTAAACCCTGTGTTTAACAGCCAGTTTAGGGGATTACTGTGATGCATATCACAAAGTAAAAGTCTCAGTCTCAGTATTCCACGTGAGGCAGCCATTCACACCTCTTAATGTGTTTTACTAACCCTGTGCAAGGCAGACACAGTTTGGAAGGATGAACCCTTCTTCTTGCTTCCTCCTCCTTTGCCACCCTTTCCACCTTCAGCTAATAAACAATGTGTACAACTCATTGGATTGCATTAACAGACACAGGAATAAATGATTTAGTATTGCAGTTCTTACTGTAATACATTTTCTAAAATATTGATATTCCCAGTTGAGGTTAATGCAGCACATTGAAATTATTCTTACCTGATTCAGCTCCAGCATAATTTGCAAAAAGCAGAGCTAATAGCTTCATAGTAGATTTCTGGTACAGTCCAACAACAGTCTCATTCAGAGGATCCTTGTTCTTCACCAACCAGTTGTTGATATTATAATCAACAGTGCCAGCATAGTGAACCAGGGAGAAATGGGCCTCTGGTTTCCCTTTAACAATTCTGGGCTTCTGGAAGTTGTTTGATTTCCCCAGATGGTTGTCATAGAGCTTAGCTTTAAAGGTTGTATCAGAGGCTTTGGGAAACATGCACTCCTCTTCAAGGATGGACATGATACCCATGGGCTGTAAAAAATCATTGCAGTAAAGAAAAATGTCATAGCACTGTTTTAAAAGTAAAATAAGCAATTCAGTAACATACTTAAATGAAAATGTACTTACCTTTTCAATCAGGTCAATACAGGCCTGCAAGTCCATACCAAAATCAATGAAAGTCCATTCAATGCCCTCTTTCTTGTACTCTTCCTGCTCCAGCACAAACATGTGGTGATTGAAAAACTGTTGCAGTTTTTCATTGGTGAAGTTGATGCACAGCTGCTCAAAGGTGTTGAACTATAATGAAAGGGTCCATGTTAAAACCAGGCTTAATAATTTCTCCTCAAACCAAAGTCTATTTCATGTAGATTATCTATTCTTTTTAAACTCACATCAAATATCTCAAATCCAGCGATGTCCAGTACACCGATGAAGTACTGTCGAGGCTGCTTGGTGTCCAAAGATTGGTTGATTCTCACTACCATCCATAGAAACATCTTCTCATACACTGACTTAGACAGTGCACCAATAGCATAGTTCACCTTAGGAAAAAAATTATTAGTAATATCTTTAACATGTACGTTCTTATTGAATCAAACTATCCTCCAAAGGTTCCCTTCAGCTTATTACCTGGGCGACATTTTGGCCCTTGGTGACCCATTCATTTCCTACTTTGACTCTTGGATGACAGAGACCTTTGATGAGGTCAGCAGAGTTCAGACCCATCAGATAAGCTACTTTGTCAGCATCTGTTGAGAAATTGTGGTATTAATTCATCACGGGTCATCACTGCTTTTCAATGACCTCTTCATTGGCGGTAGTGTGTTTCAAAAGTCATGTCTTACCTTCAGTGCCATCAGCTTCTGCTTGCTCTTCACGCTGCTTGTTCTTGAACTTCATGTTTCCATGGTGCATGATGGCACCAGTCAGCTTGTAAATGCCATTTTTCTCCTCTTGGTTGAAGCCTAGAACATCAAAGGCATCCTAAAAAAGACAATGTAAGATCAAGAATGAATTTCTGGCATTGTAAAGGTCAATTTATAAATTCATTTTTGACTGGGATTTGAAGATTGAGCTCACATCAGTGGCCATCAGCTCTTCAGAATCATTGATAGAGGCTACTGTTGTCTCTCCTTGGGAGATGAAGGCGTAGTCATAGGGGTTGTTGGTGATAAGCAACATTTCTAAAAAAGATATTCACAAAATAGAAAGTATTTATTTTATGATACAATGTATGATGCAGTACAGTAATAACCCTACATGACATGTATATTATATACCTACCCAGAAGTTCAGGCTTTTGCTGAGACAAGATCTGGTAGAAAATGTGGTAGTCCCTCTCAGCTTTGAGCTGGTAGGTCACACGAGACTTTTCCAAAAGGTCTGTTAGAGGTATAATACATATGTTTTGTTATTGTGTATGAAATATGAAATAATTTGCTCTGGGAGTAGGTTTAGCTATAATTATTGGTACACTATTACTCCTTGATTCAACAATACATATACAACAGGTTTATATATACACACTTTTTTCCCCCTAAAACTAAATGGTCAGAGCTGCCACAATTTATTTTATTAAACATTATTTAATACATTTTTTATGAATTAGTTGTTTTTTTTAACATGGGTGGCACATTGGCTCAGTGGATACAGCAATAAACTCCTGGGTTCAAATTAGCAAGGGCCTTTTACATTCTTGCATGTTCTCCCTCTGTGTGAATTTTTTGGGTTGCTCCGATTTCCAAAGACTTGCAAGTTTGGCAACTAAAGACTAAAATTCTCAGAATTAGTTTGATTACGCGTGTACATTTGTGTGTTCCTACAGTATCTGTGTATGCCTTGTGATCGACTGGAATCTTGTCCAGTCTATGTACCCTGCCTCTTACATACTGAGATTGGCTACACCACCACTAAGAATAGGTGCCTTAGAAAATGTATGTATGGATAGATTTAACTTTACTTACACGTCTCAATGTCAGCAGAAGCCAGCTTTCCTCGGTTGTCAAAATGAATTCTGATGAATTTACCCTTAGAGGAAAAGTAGTGTTCATTTATATTTCTAATATGAAAAAGTAACTCTCAGTCAGTTAATGATAATCAAGTAGCCTCACTGCAGTCACACACAAACTCACAAATCTTGAGGAGTTGTCATTCCTGATGGTCTTGGCATTCCCAAAGGCCTCTAGAGCAGGGTTAGCCTGAATGATTTGATCCTCCAGGGTACCCTGGTTTTGTTAAATAAAGACATTAACAAATAAAGGCTTTAAGATAAGAAGCAACTTTGACTTACATTTATATTTTTTGTTGTATTATATAAAAAATACATGTGTAATTTAGACCTTCTTCTCAGCAGCTTGATCTTTCTTCCCACTTGGGACTGCAGCAATGCTGGCAAAGTACTGAATGACACGTTTGGTGTTGACAGTCTTTCCAGCACCAGATTCTCCGCTGAGTGGAAGAGAGACAGAAAGGTTTAGACCAAGACCTATAACCCACAACTACTAAAGAGGTTTTTGTTGGTTGTGTGACTTACGTGATAAGGATTGACTGGTTTTCTCTGTCTGTCAGCAAGAGAGATTTTTCCAATGATTAATACAAAATAGAATGATGTCAGAGCGGAATATTTAAACAAGATGAAGGGTAAAATGTTTTATTTACCTGACAGCATGTACTGGTAGGCATTGTCAGAGATAGAGAAGATATGAGGAGGAGCTTCACTCCTCTTCTTTCCTCTATAGGCAACAACCACTTCCTGGTTGTAGACTGGCAGCCACTTGTAGGGGTTGATAGTCACACAGAAGAGCCCAGAGTAGGTCTGCCGTATTGAGGAATAGAGGATAGTGGCATCAGATGCTGAGATGTCGTAGGAATCTATGAAATTCTACAAATTAGGCAGTTGTCTTACATAAATCATCCATGCTGCATAACGCTCTTTGAGGTTAAACAGCACAGCAGGCTCATGGAGGAAGGTGAACATTGCCATGTCTTCAATTTTATCAAACTTTGGCGGGTTCTGAGGGTGTACATCACACTCCTTCACTGTGACAGTCTGCAGAAAGATATAAAACACGTTCTCAAACAAAGGTCAAAACTTGTATTTGCATACATTTGAACTGAACTAAACTGATATGAAGTATACCTTTCCAAATTCGGTATCAGCAGTGACTTTGTCACCATCACGACTAACAATGGATGCCTTGACATATTCAACCTCGGGGTCAGGAACGAAGCACTCCTTCTTCATGTCAAATATACGGGTTTGGGCTTCTAGACGCTCCTTATCTGACTTTCTCAGAAAAGGAGCAGCAGCCCCAAACTCTGCCATGGCGGCATCACCCATTTTTCAACCTTGTAAGAATAAAACATTTTTTACAGCCTGTAATTGTCTTTGCATACATACGTATGACCCATTGATCATTCACGTAACACACACAAGACAAAAGCTTCATGAAAACCTATTTAAAGAATCCATTAGACATAATTAACCTTCTTCATACAAACAACAATATATCCAGTCACTGCTTTGTTAAAACACCTATAGCCTATTATTTAAAATATGTAACATTTTATCTCTTAATGCAAATACAGAAATATATTAGTTTAAATGGACGTGTCTCTAACAGAATCATACAGACATGCATAAGTCCTTGATATGAGCATGAACATGAACGACCCCCAAATGGCAGAATCAGAAAAGGCATTGGTTCATTTGTTGCTCACATATGCATGTGTCAACAGAACAGCAAGATGCTTTAAATAGTAATTGGGTTAACTTTTGTACTTAATAATAAAAAATGATTGCACTTGTCACATAAATGTAGCTTTGAATTTTACCTCAGGTGTTTCACTCCACACGCCGGGGAATTGGGATCTGTGCTATTTACATTTAGTGAACAGAAGCATACTAAATGTCATATTACATCATCATTTAATGAACACAAATCAAGTCTGACAAGTAAAATATACTTAAATTGTACTGTCTATATATAACTGGGAGTAATTGTAACATCTAAAACAAACAGATTCTTCAGAATGGCCACTCGCATTCAACGTAGCAATTCTCAATTCTACTTGAGTAGATGTTTTCTTACCTTTGACTGCCAACCTTTGTCAAGTGAAATGATGGACCCAGTGGCTGACACCAGGGTGCCTCTCCATTAATAAAGGTTGTTAGTCAACCAAATATGGGGATGAATATCAGAGAAATGGCATCCAGGTTGCCTATCACAAAAAGCATTCTCCAAATTGGGTAGAGCCTAGTGCTGCTATTTGTTGCCCCCACCTTATGAGCAGACGGGACATGGCAAAGAAAGGGGAAGGGGGGGGGTTAACAGGGACAGGCTACAGTCTATCAAGTAATTCTCTTTTGTCCCAGTAAGTTATGTTAAATAGTTTTTAAATGAACAATTAGAGTGGCAGTGGAAGTTAAGTTAATGCTGGAAAATCGATTAAAAGATTCTTTGTTTGTTGAATATACCCCATAAATCAAATACTTGTTTGGGCGTGACTATAGGAGAGAGAGTAGAAAAATCCTTTCCAACTATAATGCTTATTGATAATCTTAAATCAATCTTGATTCAATTAAATATTAATCACATAGTGGGACCTACTATACTGTATGCTCCATAACAGCACTAATTAGGGGTGTATCCTTTTCTTTGCACTGAAAATCTCAAGAGGAAACATTAATCCGAATACTGAATGAATAAATGAATGGCCTTTTGTTGCTTTCAAGATAGATTCACTGTGCTTTATGATAATGTATGTCTTATTCATGGACAGGTTTTATCATAGACTGCCTCTCTACTCTAAAACTAAATAAAGTAGGCTAGCATGCGAGCAGGATTTATGGGACATCAAATACCTTGTGATCTAAAGTTCAACAATAGTCTGTCAAGTGATAGGGTGTGAAATACATTTCAAGAGGGAGAATACATGCTGCAGCTGTTGTCTACAGAGAGGCAAGACGAGGCCAAGGTCACAGCTGTGAGATCCCTTTAGTTATCACTCACCACTGTTCACAGATATATGCTCTTAGGCTAACTCTGGTCACCTGGCATTGTTTCCTTTTTTTCCTTTACCACCAATAAAAATCTTCAGACACTATGCAACCCAACTCACGATTATATTATCGGTACATGAAATTAATTTGAGCTCACCTTTTGAAACACTTTTCAATTGACACTTTCAATTACCTGGAACTAGGCATATATGCTTGCCAATTAAGATTAGTAGTAAGACAGCTGAAAGAGTTAAAAGCCATAAATCTGTAGGGACAGTATGCTCTCCTAGGATGCCAATATAGATGCCATCAGCAGCTCTCACAGTACCTTCAGTTCATACACTTATCTAAGCAATTGGATGTGGCAAGGGATGGACTACAATTACTCTTTCATATCAATCTTTAGGAGGGAGAATCCAACTTTATTTTTAATGACTTTGCATTACATATAATTAGCAAATGGAACACAAAACAACAAAAAAGTAAATGTAGAACATTTACCAAGTAAAAAGGCTGCATATAAACCTATATGTCCTAAGCCGTGAGGAAAGGTAGGCACCAAACGATACCACTGTTTAATAGTAGTAGTAACTCAACAGTGGTATCCTTGAAGTCCTTGAAGCCATGAAGTCATTTATTCCTACTACGGTTGTCACAAGAATTGCTACTTTGGTACCAAGTCAATGCCAAAATTCCTAAAACTTGATGGTACTCATTTTTCTATAGTACCGTAGGTACTGGTAACCGGACCTGACAGGGCTGCATATACACCTACAAATATTCTATTCTGCCATTTAATGCCATAGGAACAAGAATGTGTTAAAGTTGGTGACAAGTGCAGCTGTTCAGGTGTTTTACTCATGAAGCTTTCATGCACAGTGCTCCATTGTCAACTCATTCTCGCTGTCTCTATCCACTCCGCTGTGCTATGTCTGTGTGTCTGCAGGAGCTCAGCCCCTCCCGCAGTGAAACACTGTTGCGGTGTCTTTGGTCTGTATTATTGTAATAAGGGACATTTTTACCACAGTATCAAATTGGTATCGAGGATTGTGGAATTTCACTGGTGTTGGTATCAACTATTACATTTATGCTATCGAGACATCCCTAATTCCTATTTGGAATTTATTTGGATGTTCTTAGCTTTGATGTATCAAATTATTATAACTGCTCAGGTGACGTCGTACCTGTGTTTTATTTAGATATCATTTATCAATTATTAAAAATGATATATTATGATATTAACTTTTTTTGGCTAGTGTCTGTCGTGCCCTTATATATAGAGTAGTTTTTCCAAAGTATCTGAATAATTGTATTGCTATTTGTATTATTAGAATTGGTGATGTGTAATACCCAACATGTGCGTTGTCATTGGTAAAACAGTTAACCTGGCCTGTGCATATAGATTGTTATCGATATAGTCTTGGGTTCCAATGGTATCATCACTGACATCAACATAATGGCCTCTTATTCAACAAAATAAATGGTAAAATAGCAAAAATAATGGGACACCACAGAAGTCCAGGAAGAACCATGCAATGTTTGTGCACTGAAACAAATTCATATTGTTGTAACCTATACTCTAGGCTTTCATCCAAAAGATGCCTGCTGTGAGTGCCCTTGGCCTGCTTCTGTTGACATGGCATTGTTTTCTTCTCTTTATCCTTGAGCACAAAGATAACTTGTGAAATTCCTGCTGGCGGCCTTTGGGGGCTTGGTGGTTCAGAGGACAGCTTGGGGACAGCTTGTGACGCAAGTAGTCAGGACAGGATTTTTTCTTTGATCAGCAGCAACAGGTGATAAACCCATGAGAAACCAATTATGTGTACTATGTAGTGTAATAATGGATGCTATATAACTTATGTGATGAATGAATCTCTATTAGACCACATTTTAAAACAAGTCAAGTGTGTCCTATTCTGAAGGACAATGAAACCTGAAACTACCATGAATTGACAGTCAGAAGATTTCTTAAATGTGTAATATAATGTTTCTGGTCTGGCACAGTATTTAAAGCCAAGTGTAGGGAATTGTATTATTTTCACATTATTAAAACTGTCTGGTACAAATTAAATCGTACAAAGCGTGCTGGCCAGTAATGCAATCGGGTCCTTAGCTGTCTTCCTTTCTATCACATCACATCTCACTAGGTCTTGTGCCTGCTTGACTTCGTACTAGAATTCTCATCTTCTTTACTTATCCATCAGTCTATTCCAGGCTCTAGCAGATCACTCAGCCATCCATTAAAGGTCTCATTCCCAGCTGTTCACAGTCCTTGTGTCTCTGACTTTTACAATCACATGAACACACAAGGGAAGGTGTGAGGCACCTTGCCTCACTTAAGTTTGAAACTAGAGCCAACAAAGCTATTGTTAGTATTTGTCCTTTGTTGTTGTAAAAGGTTACTTCTAAGGGGGTGTTGAGCTCTGGTGGAGGCGAGGAGTTGATTTTTCTCCTGCCTCTTCTCCCCACTTATTCAGACTGTGGACCTCTGTGTGGATTCTCCTCCTGAGTACTGCTTGTGTTGTGATGAGGCAATGACCACAACAATTCAAAATGATGGAAAGGTACCATTGGTTTTATTTTATATTTTTTTGGATGCTGAACTACAAATCTATTCAAAAATGTGCTAATTTGGAAAACTGACAAAAATTTAAATTTGCCATAATATACTTATATGTCCTTACAATGTCCTGGTTTTATTGATGAAATGCTGTTTCTTGAATTCTAGGTCTGTCTTGGAGGACTCATCACTGAATACACCAATTTGAGGTTATCTGCTGTCAGTCAAACATCTTTGTCAAGTCAGCCTCTTTTTTGTGATCCAGATGACCCTCCCTCATCAGGCTTTGAAAAGATGCTTGTCACTAAAGACTGGCCTCCACTACTGATATGAAGGTTAGTAAATTCAACTTTAGATTTAAATATTTTAAACTTTAGACATTTAAGTGTGTTACTTATGATGTACAATATGATTTACATTTATTTAAAAAGCAACGGTTGTCTCACCATTGGATGATGTACTAATTTCTGTGTCGGTAGAGTGGTGGTCATGTCATGTTCATGTCAAAATAATGTTACCATGTTTCATGTTTAATACTGAGAATGGGATTTTTGAGTATTTTTTACTAGCAAGTAGACTGTATTACTGTGTTTAATAGTTAACTTTTTCAGTGAGGGATTAAAGTAGCAACATTCTGCAGTCTGTTCTCCATATCACAGGGTCACCTTTGAGGCTTCTTAATTCTCTTTAAATATCTTTTTCATGTTTTTACAGTAAAAAAACAAAACAAAAAACTTTGAAATTTTTCAAAATTTTATTCAGCTCACTTATTCAGTTCAATTAATTTAGAGAAATACGCTATTTGTGTTTCAATTTTGAAGAAAAGGTAAAACTGGAAATACCTTCATAATTGTTTACCAGCAGTGTAGTATTATGTGTAATAAAATAGCATGGTAGGTGTTATAAGTATGGAAGAGTTAATTGTTGTCCTTTAACATGACTCATTTACTAGCTACTGTACCTTTTAAGCAAACTAAAATAGAGTGTGTGAGCGCACTCTGCTGATTATGATACTGAGTTGCAACATCAAGTGAAGGAGACTGGAAATGTCCAGTATAGTCATCCTCACAAGGATTACAGATTTGAATAAGTGAGTAATGTAGTAGTTTATTTTCACTCCTAAAAAATAAATAGTTTGCTGACACAAAGCATTATTTTGAAAGTTTTTTGTTTTTTTAAAGACTAATGAACTAACCTGAAATACATTGTGTTCAGGTGGGCAATTTAATTGAAGCAGCCAGTGACACACATTAAATAATACAAATCTTATTAATTAAAACTTTCTCTGTCTCAAATTGTCTCTAAATCTAGCACTTGAAGCAAAGAAGCAGCATGTTGATGTACTTGATTATATGTACATTATACTTGCAATTCTTTAGATAAAAGCATCAGTTAAATACATGTGATGTATTGAAATTACGTTTCTGTCATTTCTGGTCTATGGAAGACCAAACATGACATATTTGGAAGTAAATAAGAGTAAATACATAAATGAATAAATTAAACATATACATAGACTGCCTTTTTTTAGTTTTAAGCATCAGGATGATTTGCCTATAGTCTAATTGTTTGAATAAAACCCTTTACAGGTTTCACCGTTTGGGGGAAATTCACTTAGATGAGGTGATATTGATCAGTCAGAATCAGAATTTTGATCAGTCATTTTAGACCGACCTATGAGTGGCATAACCATATTTTGCTCATTAGAAATAATAGACTGTGCTGCTGATGGAAAATACTTTTCTTAAAATACAATTCTTCAATAACAGTAAAAGATACATTTGGCAATTCAATATACACTTTTTGATGTTGTATCTTTGTCACTGTGCTTTTCCTTGTGTTTTATTTATTCATTATTTGTTTATTATTACATTATGAAATCATATAATTTATTTTTCAATTAATTTCACAAAATAATTAATTTACTTTATTAATTAGAAATATGTCAAGTTTAGCTTTCTGTAATTATGAACCACAAGAGCCTTTGTCAATGAATAGTCAAGAAACCGATTCAGATGCAAATACATTTATTCTACTCAACAAAAAATATGTTTAGGGAGACACCATTACATGGGCAAAAGGTGCCTCAGAAGTTTTCATTTTTGAGGGAACTTCACTCTTCGTTGAGTCCTTTCTGAAACAGAAGAAAGAAAACACAAAATAAATACTGACGTGTTTTATTATGTGTTATTTCAACCATTGTGTCATAACAGGTTGAATCAGTATCCTTATATTATTTGTCCTTTAAGCCCGTCAGAGGAGTGGTGTAAATGGAGTTATAATGGTCAATGCCATGCTGTAAGACCATTGACAAATTCTTATACAATATATGAACAAGATGATTGACACTGCTAGGTGATTTCCCATTTTTAAATGTATGTACAGTATGTGTATATACTGACCTTTGACCCCACATCACGGCTCTTGGCACGTAGCTTGTTGACCTGAGACTCAGCGATGTCAGCTCTCTCTTCAGCTTCATCGAGCTCATGTTGAAGCTTACGGAACTTTGTCAGATTATTGTTGGACTGTTCCTCCTGCAGAACAGACACACCATATGTTATATATTGTCATATCATTGTCATATCTGCTCAGATATCTGCTTCACTGGTAAAATATAAGTTTTGCATTTTCACTTACAGCCTCTTCTGCAGTCTTTTTATAGGATTTGACCTTTAGCTGTAGCTTGTCCACCAAATCTTGGAGACGCGCTAGATTTTTACGGTCTTCTTCTGTCTAAATCATGCAAAAACAACATAAAATAAAAATGCATATATATTTTGCTACTGAATGTAATTGATTGACCCTTGACCAGTAAATCACTGGGTAAAGTTAATCCTCGCAAATAAGATTACTTGATCTCATGGAGCTGGAACTGAGCAACCTGCAAAAGTGTCACACTTATTATAAATCTGGCCAAATAGGCCAGATTTGTAGTGTAATAGTTACCTGATAGGTAAGCTCCTTGATACGTCTTTCATACTTTCTCACTCCCTTTACAGCATCACTGGCCTTTTTTTGTTCACTTTCCACCTCATTTTCAAGTTCCCTGACCTGCAGAATAAGGACGCAGTCACAAGTCAGCAAATACCTCTGTACACATAGAGCAGCTATTTATTTTACATGTTTAAATGATGCAAGGAGCCAAACAACCAACTTATACTCACTCTGGCCTCGAGCTTCTGCAGCTGTTTCTTGCCTCCTTTCATGGCAATCTGTTCAGCTTCATCCAGACGGTGCTGCAGGTCTTTGATGGTCTGCTCCATGTTCTTCTTCATACGCTCCAGGTGAGCGCTGGTGTCCTGCTCTTTCTTCAGTTCTTCTGCCATCATGGCAGCGTCAGTAATGGCCTTCTTGGCCTTTTCCTCTGCATTTCTGCACTCCTGGACTGCTTCCTCCACTTCAGTCTGAAGCTGGGCTGTATCCCCCTCCAGCTTCTTCTTTTGGTTTAGCAAACTGGTATTCTGGTCGAATGCGAAATTTATTTATAGAATTCCTTAGGAAATTGGCAATAATAGAAAAGAACTGTGCCAGGTCCAATACCTGCACCTTACCTGTGAGTGCAGTAGCTGCACCCTCTCACTAACATCCAGAAGCTCTTGCTCGGCAAGTTTGCGACCTCTCTCAGTTTGTTCCAGAGCAGACCTCAGTTCCTCCACTTCAGCCTGAAGAAGGTTGTTGCGTCGCTCAACAATGGCAATGTTCTCTTTAAGATCATCATTGGCTCGCAGAGAGTCATCAAGCTGCAGCTGAGCATCCTGGAAGAGTGTGACATTTATTGTAAAGATAGTTAAATGGAGTGATAACATACTATGTCTATGATATGTTTTTAAAAAAAGGAAAAAACATACCTTTAGATGTGAATGAACAGATTTAAGTTGTTTCTGGGCCTCAGCTGCCTGCCTGTTGGCCTGGCTAAGCTGGATCTCCATCTCATTGAGGTCTCCCTCCATTTTCTTTTTTAAACGGAGGGCCTCATTCCTGCTGCGAGTCTCAGCCTCAAGAGAGCTCTGAAGAGTATCCACAATTCGCTGTTGGTTTCTCTTGACTTGTTCCATCTCTTCATCTTTCTCGGCCAGCTTGCGCTCAATATCAGCCTTAACCTGGCTGAACTCAAGCTGGACTCTGAGGATCTTCCCTTCCTCATGCTCCAGTGAGGCCTATCATGAAATAAAGATTTAAAAATCAAATATATGACTAGTCATTACCAATTTTCAAGTTTATAAAGTCCAGCATAATAAAATGCAGCATACCTCTGCTTCCTCCAGGGCTGTTTGTATCTCAGACTTCTCTTGTTCCAACTGTTTTCGAATCTTCTCGAGCTCATGAATATTTTTTCCACCCTCACCAATTTGCTCAGTGAGGTCAGATATTTCCTCTGAGAAACAAAATGTAAGTTAGTTAGTTGTTAAAGCAAATACAGGTGTAAGCTGGTGTTACCCTTACCCTGCAGATTCTTATTCTCTCTCTTCATGGTCTCCAGATGTTCCAGAGATTCTTCGTAGGAATTCTTCAGTTTGAAGAGTTCAGTGCTCAGAGACCTGGCTTCCTTCTGAGAGCTCTCCAGCTCTGTTTGAGACTCCTCGTACTTCTGTTTCCATTCTGCCAAAATCTGAGAGATGGTTTTTAGATGATTTTAGATGAAGGATCTGAAATATGTCTGCTTAAATGTAATTACACCTTAATTCTTCATCTAAAAGAGCAAAAGAGATACTTGTATTTTAAATCGAACCTTGTCAAAGTTTCTTTGCTTCTTGTCCAGAGCAGCAGCAGCAGCATTAGACCTCTCCACATCCACCATGAGATCTTCAATCTCATTCTGCAGCCTGTGTTTGGTCTTCTCCAGAGAGGAACATTTAGCATTCACTGCTTCAACAGCCTCCTCGGCATCCTGCAGACGCTGAGCCAGCTTCTTTCTGGATTATGATTGAATTCATTAGAAATGTTTTGTTTTAGTTTGATGATGGTTCATTGCTTTTAAACTTTGCAGAGTTGTTTGAGTGAAAATAAATTTGACATACTTGGCCTCCTCCAGTTCTTCAGTTCTCTGGATGGCATCAGTTTCGTACTTGGTTCTCCACTGAGCTACCTCAGAGTTGGCCTTGGACATGCTGCGCTGCAGTTCAGCCTTGGCCTCCTGCTCCTCCTCATACTGCTCCCTGAGGAGGTCACAGTCATGACGAGCAGACTGCACTGCATGGGCTAATGCATTCTTGGCCTGAAATGAGAGCACGTCTTAAAGCCTCCTTTGCACCAACATTTGATCTGCACTAAATGAGGTCTCAATGTGTTACCTTGACTTCTTCTTCCAGTTGTCTTTTAAGGTCTTCAATTTGTTGAGTGTAGGATTGTTTTCCTCTCGTGAGTTGAGACACCAGGGAATCCTTTTCCTCAAGCTGCCTTGTAAGTTCACCTAATTTTGGCAGCAATAAAAAATTTGTACCTCATAATATCCCAAACAAAACACATTGTTCAAATCAAGTGCCTACCATTCTCAGTTTGAAGCTTCGCTTTCTGCATGGTAAAGTCATTGATGGTACGTTGTCCCTCTTCTGACTTTGTTTTATATTCATTCATCTGGTCTTCTAGAGACCTGCACATTTTCTCCAAATTATTCTGAAAACAAAAAGTATTCATATTGGTACATAAACTACTTCAAAATGAATGGAATGTGTCTTAATCTAACATTGTAAAATATTAATCAATCAATGCACAGAAAAACATAATGCAAGTTTTTTACCTTAGCCTTCACAATATGTTCCATATTAGAGACCACATCATCCAGCTCCAGTCTGAGCTCACTCTTCTCCTTCTCCAGTTTCTGCTTGACTCTCTGCAGGTTGTCAATCTGCTCTCCCAGGTCAGCAACACTGTCAGCTTGTTTCTTCCTGAGTGTGGCAGCAGTGGCTTCATGCTGCAGAGTGGCCTCTTCAAGGTCTCTGCGGAGTTTCTGGAACTCAGCCTCCCTCTTCTTGTTCATCTCAATCTGGGCAGATGTTGCTCCTCCAGCTTCCTCCAGCCTCTCACTGATCTCCTCCAGCTCTCTAGACAAGTCTGCTCTCTGCTTCTCCACCTTGGCTCGGGCAGCTCGCTCTGCTTCAAGCTCTTCCTCCAGCTCCTCAATGCGGGCCTAGATCAAAATAAAAGCAAAACGTTAAATTGTATTGCTCAAGTTGTGGTGTTAAAATGTAATATTTATTACTCAACCTATTATATGCTATTTAAATTATTACCTGCAACTCCTTCAATTTTTTCTGGAGCTGGGCACTCATCGCTTGTTCATCTTCTATTTTGCCAGTGAGTTGGCTGATTTCAAAATCTTTCCTGTAGATAAAAAAGATGTAAAATGTACAGTCCATGAAAATGTTTAAATCCATTTTTGTTTTTAACAGTGATCTTTTCATATTACTTTTTCAGCCTCTCTTCAAGTTGCTGCTTGTCATTTTCCAGGTCCATGATACTCTCCTGAGATAACTTTAGGTCTCCCTCAAGCTTTCGCTTTGCTCGCTCGAGGTCCATACGCACTTTCTTCTCTTGCTCAAGGGATCCTTCGAGCTGTGGGCCGTAATATTATAACATTTTCACTTATTTATTATTTATTATATACATATCCACCTGATCTTGTTAAGACTTACATCATCCACTTGCTGCTCCAGCTTAGCCTTGGCCTTGGTCAGAGTGTTGACTTTGTCTTCTTCACTCTGCAGATCATCCAGTGTTTGCTGATGAGCTTCCTGTAAGGCTTTCTTTTCCTTGGTCAGCTTGGCAATAATTTCTTCCAAAGCAGCCAGCTCCTCAGTCAGGTTTTTAACCTACGATGAGTGTAAACATTTATGAAGAACTTTAACATAGATGTGATTTGGGACACAGAGTAATTCCACAGTAATTAGTGTTTGGGGTACCTTGTTCTCAGTGGCATGCTTCTCTTTCTCCACTTTAGCCAGAGTTAATTCTAAGTCATCAATGTCTTTCTTCAGCTCAGAACATTCATCCTCCAGCTTCCTCTTCTTAGCAGTTAGTTCAGCATTCATCTCCTCCTCATCCTCCAGTCTTTCTGTCAGCTCTTTGAGTTTTGCCTCCAGCTGAATCTTGCTCTTGATCAGCCCTTCACATCTTTCTTCAGCATCACAAAGATTATCTTGCTCCTGTTATTATTGAAAAGACACAATATTACACATTGGCAGACGCTTGACTTAAATACTATTTGCAATACTGACTTATTTTAAACATACAGATTGAACTTGAAGCTGCAGATCATTCTTCTCTTGGAGAAGAGTGACCATTTTTTCTTCTAGTTCCTTCCTGCGGGCTTCAGATTTTGCATATGCCTCTTTCAGTTTGGCAAACTCTTCCTTCATGTTGGCCATCTCCTTCTCAGTCTCTGCTGACTTTAACAGAGGTTTAATCTTGAAATACATCTTCATCCAAGGCCAATTCTTGACCCCCATGAAGGCACGGATGTTCCACTGGATCACAAGTAACGCATCCCTGTGGATATTGATTCAAGATACTGAGAAGAGCAATTTAAGTATTTCTTTACTGAACACTAATGTACATATATTTCTGAGGCATTGGAATTGATTAGTGCATGTACCTGCGTTCTACAATCTTCTGGAATTCAATTCTTGCCAGAACACCTCGTGACCTTGCCTGGATCCTGGTGATGATTAGAGCTAAGCGGTCATCTCGCATCTCCTCCAGCAGACCAAGCAGCCCAGCTTTAAAGAACACCTGAGTTTTGCAAACAAATGAGATCAGCAGTTTAGCTTTAAGACGGTTGTGAGTGTGTATGTTAAACATAATGTCTTATGCACAGCTTACATTGACATCTCTGTGTTATCACATATATATATATATTAATATTGTGAATGAAAGCCATCAATTGTCTGTACTTAAAAGAATTATCAGCAATAGATAAACACAACTCAAAACACAATGTCACTCTGTGCAGTTCCTTATCACCCTGAGGCAGAAATATATGTTTTATGCTACATATGCTAAAATGTATTTCACCAATACTTACCTTGGTGTGGCCCAGTTTGTATTGGTTATGGTCTATATCCAAGGAACCCAAAAGCTTCTCAGAAGCTTTTTTGTTATCGATGAACTGTCCCTCAGGGATAGCACTTGGGTTCAAAATGCGATATCTTTGTAATAAAGATAAAAGATATTTTTTCAATTTATATGAAATATCAAATTACTTTTTTTTTTTAAATTAAAAAAGTATTAAACAGTTCTCTTCACCACATCATCAAAACACTAAATGATCTTATGATCTTATGACATATGAATGATGTATATATATATATATATATATATATATATATATATATATATATATGTATATAGATGACAGATACCTCTGTTTGAAATCTCCATAGAGGATCCTGTTTGGGAAGCCCTTTCTGCAGATCCTGATGCCTTCCAGCACACCGTTACAGCGCAGCTGGTGCATCACCAGAGGATTTTCCATGGCCCCAGGAGTCTTGGTCTCATTGGGGATGATGCAGCGTACAAAGTGAGGGTGAGTAGACCTCAAGTTGGTCATCAGTTTGTTCAAGTTCTCCTGTGAGTGCCCCATAGAGGAGAGAATTGATCGCCCATTACCACCTTCATTAACAGTACATTATGAATAAACACCATGATTCTTTATGGTTAAGGACTCTGAGATCTAAAATCTGAGAAGAACGTCTCAATTAGCTAACGTATTACACAATTTAAATTATATTGATCTTACCCTATGTAAGGCTGATACAGTTTGGAAGGATGAACCTTTCTTCTTGCTACCACCTTTGCCCTTCCCACCAGACTCTTGAACTAAATAAAACATTTATCATTAGAATTAAGAGAAAGGAAACAAATATATTAAAGACATGTTTTTAAATTGTTTTAAACTGTACACATTACATTGAGAGAAATAAATAAAGGGGGAAAATTTTGCTTTTATATTAAAAGCTCCGTCATTATACAGTTCTACCTTTGTACAAGTCCTTCACATGACACATTGATAATCATTTTGAAACTAAGATGCTGATCCCTTTTTAAATACAAACCTGTATCAGCTCCAGCATAATTTGCAAAGAGTGTAGCGAGCAGTTTAAGATTAGATTTTTGGTACAGTGCAACAACGGTCTCATTCAGAGGATCCTTGTTCTTCACCAGCCAGTTGTTGATATTATAATCAACAGTTCCAGCGTAGTGCATCAGGGCAAAATGGGCCTCTGGTTTCCCTTTGACAATTCTGGGCTTCTGGAAGTTGGCGGATTTCCCCAGATGGTTGTCATAGAGCTTAGCTTTAAACGTAGCATCAGAGGCTTTGGGAAACATGCACTCCTCTTCAAGGATGGACATGATACCCATGGGCTGTAAAAATCATTGAAGTATAGAAAAATGTCATAGCACTGTTTTAAAAGTGAAATAAGCAATTCAGTAACATACTTAAATGAAAATGTACTTACCTTTTCAATCAGGTCAATACAGGCCTGCAAGTCCATACCAAAATCAATGAAAGTCCATTCAATGCCCTCTTTCTTGTACTCTTCCTGCTCCAGCACAAACATGTGATGGTTGAAAAACTGTTGCAGTTTTTCATTGGTGAAGTTGATGCACATCTGCTCAAAGGTGTTGAACTATAATGAAAGGGTCCATGTTAAAACCAGGCTTAATAATTTCTCCTCAAACCAAAGACTATTTCATGTAGATTATCTATTCTTTTTAAACTCACATCAAATATCTCAAATCCAGCGATGTCCAGTACACCGATGAAGTACTGTCGAGGCTGCTTGGTGTCCAAAGATTGGTTGATTCTCACTACCATCCATAGAAACATCTTCTCATACACTGACTTAGACAGTGCACCAATAGCATAGTTCACCTTAGGAAAAAAAATTATTAGTAATATCTTTAACATGTACGTTCTTATTGAATCAAACTATCCTCCAAAGGTTCCCTTCAGCTTATTACCTGGGCGACATTTTGGCCCTTGGTGACCCATTCATTTCCTACTTTGACTCTTGGATGACAGAGACCTTTGATGAGGTCAGCAGAGTTCAGACCCATCAGATAAGCTACTTTGTCAGCATCTGTTGAGAAATTGTGGTATTAATTCATCACGGGTCATCACTGCTTTTCAATGACATTGGCGGTAGTGTGTTTCAAAAGTCATGTCTTACCTTCAGTGCCGTCAGCTTCTGCTTGCTCTTCACGCTGCTTGGTCTTGAACTTCATGTTTCCATGGTGCATGATGGCACCAGTCAGCTTGTAAATGCCATTTTTCTCCTCTTGGTTGAAGCCTAGAACATCAAAGGCATCCTAAAAAAGATAATGTAAGATCAAGAATGAATTTCTGGCATTGTAAAGGTCAATTTATAAATTCATTTTTGACTGGGATTTGAAGATTCAGCTCACATCAGTGGCCATCAGCTCTTCAGAATCATTGATAGAGGCTACTGTTGTCTCTCCTTGGGAGATGAAGGCGTAGTCATAGGGGTTGTTGGTGATAAGCAACATTTCTAAAAAGATATTCACAAAATAGAAAGTATTTATTTTATGATACAATGCATGATACAGTACAGTAATAACCCTACATGACATGTATATTTTATACCTACCCAGAAGTTCAGGCTTTTGCTGAGACAAGATCTGGTAGAAAATGTGGTAGTCCCTCTCAGCTTTGAGCTGGAAGGTCACACGAGACTTCTCCAGAAGGTCTGTAAAAGAAATAAGTTGTTATTATGGTACACTGACAGGTTGACAGGTGATGCTTTTAAATTTGTTTTATAATGTTAATGTTGCTTACAAGTTTCAATATCAGCAGATGCCAGTTTTCCTCGGTTATCAAAATGAATGCGGATAAATTTACCCTAAAAAGGAGAGAGACGCTCATTTTAGTCCACTCGAATTACTTTCATTTAGAAATTACCGTTTGTAATCCCACAAACACTCACAAATCTTGAGGAGTTGTCATTCCTGATGGTTTTGGCATTACCAAAGGCCTCCAGAGCAGGGTTAGCCTGAATGATTTGATCCTCCAGGGTACCCTGGACACAAGGAAGACACAACTTCAGGTTTAGTGCCAAGTATATAAAATTACAAAATGTCTTTCACCTTTTAGAAATGATTAAGTGTTATTGCGCTTAACAAAGCATACTTCGTGAAAAATTCAGAAATATATTTTGTAATTCAGACCTTCTTCTCAGCAGCTTGATCTTTCTTCGCACCTGGGGCTGCAGCAATGCTGGCAAAGTACTGAATGACACGTTTGGTGTTGACAGTCTTTCCGGCACCAGATTCTCCGCTGAGTGGAAGAGAGACAGAAAGGTTTAGACCAAGACCTATAACCCACAACTACTAAAGAGGTTTTTGTTGGTTGTGTGACTTACGTGATAAGGATTGACTGGTTTTCTCTGTCTGTCAGCAAGAGAGATTTTTCCAATGATTAATACAAAATAGAATGATGTGAGAGCGGAATATTTAAACAAGATGAAGGGGAAAATGTGTTATTTACCTGACAGCATGTACTGGTAGGCATTGTCAGAGATAGAGAAGATATGAGGAGGAGCTTCACTCCTCTTCTTTCCTCTATAGGCAACAACCACTTCCTGGTTGTAGACTGGCAGCCCCTTGTAGGGGTTGACAGTCACACAGAAGAGCCCAGAGTAGGTCTGCCATAGTAAGAGAAGGATTACAGATAATAGGAGGATATTATGTGTTCCTTACTCATTCAAGTAAGTTGCTCTTAACTTTAATAATGAAGGTAATGTTTTATGTTAAGTTTTCATTGTCTTACATAGATCATCCATGCTGCATAACGCTCTTTGAGGTTAAACAGCACAGCAGGCTCATGGAGGAAGGTAAACATCGCCATGTCTTCAATTTTATCAAACTTTGGTGGGTTCTGAGGGTGTACATCACACTCCTTCACTGTGACAGTCTATGAAAAAAAGAATACATTTTACATTCACACTGACTAAAACCTAACCAAATGTCCCTGTAGAAATATTTACATCAGTACTCTCCTTCCGAACTTAGAAAATGTACCTACCTTTCCAAATTCAGTTTCAGCGGTGACTTTGTCACCGTCACGACTGCTAATTGTAGCTTTGACATATTCAACCACGGGGTCAGGAACGAAGCACTCCTTCTTCATGTCAAATATACGAGTCTGGGCCTCCAGACGCTCCTTATCTGACTTTCTCAGAAAAGAAGCCGCAGCCCCAAACTCTTTCATGGCAGCATCACCCATTTTTCAATCTGTTAGAGATATAAAATGTTTGAGCCATTACTGATGATAGTATCATCATTGAGTTTTCACAACAGGATCTTTTCATGCATTACATTAGCCATCAGGATACCACATGTGCAATAATGAAATGGTAGATAGTACTAAAATAGTGTTATCAGTGCAAACTGTCTTAATGTCTGATGTCTTAATCATGTACATTAAAAAGCAAATATTTAGTAAGTTGGGGAGTGCATTATACCTAGGGTGGATTTGGAGTCCAAAGGAGACCAGGGTCAGTAGAGTTCTTGCTATTAAAACCCAATAAAAAAGTAAAACATTATTTCATTGCAAAGAACATGATACATATCAGAAGTATATAACTAAAACTTTACCTCAAAACATGTTATAGCTGAGGCAGCAAATATCAAGACATCTGTAACATTTCTATTCCATAATACTGGTATAAATGTCTTGCTTACCTTTGCCTCTCAACCTTTAATCAAGCGAAGTGATGAGCCCCGTAGCTGACAGCAGCCCTCCTTCCATTAATAAAGGTTGCTTATCCACCAAATATGGGATGAATTTTTGGAGAAAGGTTGTACATTAAAAAAAGCGTTCTCTTAATTGGGCAGAATGTACTGCTGCTATTTGTTGCTTTCACCTTGTGACAAACAAGGCGAGGACAATACATGGTACAAAGAAAGGGGAGGGCAAGAGGTGGGGATCAGGGATAGGCTTGATATCAAATGACTCTTAGTTTATTCATATAAATCATAACAGGTTATTTTATATAATTTTTTACCAGTTTTGTTTATGTTATGTTATTTTGTTTGGTTGCCCTACCAAAATAAATACTTTTATTTGATATTTCAACATTCTAAAAGACATTTAAATATTTAAGTTAAACCTTTTGAACCCCTTTTTTGTTTTCATGATAGATGTAATGAACTGATGGCAAATAATATGAACCTATTATGGTCATACAGTATATTTTGATTTGTGTATTATCTGCATTACTTATCTAGCAGCTGCAATTTCTGATAACCAGAACCAAAAAGCTGGAAAAAACATAGAAGAGGTTCAATTCACATTTATATGTGAAAACAAAAAGTTCAAGCAAAACTGAGAGACAGCAGGTCGCATTCTTAATTATCTACTAACATCACCTTTAAGTTCAGTGTCTCATTTCTAAATCCCAGAGTTGTGACAGACAAGTAACATTAATGACTTAATACGACTAATTTGATCTTCAAACATTGTGCTTTGAAAACAGCTCTGGACTTGTTACGATTCCTAAAAAGATAAAGTTCAGCAAAGGTCATTCATGTGAAGGGTGGTGAAATGCATTTCTACAGCCTCTACTGAGACAATAAAGTGTTGCAGCTGTTGTCAAGTGTGAGAGCTAAGGTCAGGGACTTTAAATTATCACTCACCACTGTTCTGCCCAGCAAGGTCTACACCCTTTGTCTCATGGTGTCGTCATGGCATTGTTCCCTTTCCTTTGGCCTTGAGGACAAAGATAACCCTGTGAAATTCTTGCCTGGATTCTTTCTGTCTGATTGAGAAGGGCAGCCTATGAGGGCAGTGATATAGCTGAAGTGCAGTCTCTGATGTCATGATGGATGAGTGGTAACAGGTGCATAGCACTGTAACTTTGCCCAGACACCTCCCTTTATTCTTGAGCACAATTAAATGTTTTTCTCATTTATTCATTTTTACTCCATTATGGAATGTAATAATTTGATGTTGGTGGTTTTAATCAGAATATACACGTTGATTTGCTTTTGAAAAGGCTATGGTAGGGATGGTCCATCTACTTTTATGGAACATCAGTTGAAAAAAACATTTAAATGAACATTCCTTCAAGGAGAAAAAAAAAAGAAAATGGATTTTGTTGGATATGGAATATATCCTGCTATCCATTCTCACCTCTTAGCAAATTAATGATTGAATGATGAGTGCTGAACAATTTTCCAAGTTAATCAGAATTTGCTTTCACATTGTTGGACTTATTCTCATTCTCAGCTGTCTAAATCCCTGCGGAAATCTTGTTTTGCATCCCCTTCCTGGCTTTGGAGTTGTAACCAGATTCCTCCAAGGTAAGGCCAATTGTCTGCGACTAAAATCTTTGATGGAAAGAACAAATGGTGTCACCTTGATTTACATTTGCTGTGGTGTCTGCTAATTAATCCAAAAGTATTTCTAAACATCCCATTCCTATGTGTTAGGCAGTTGACACAAATGAGCCTATACCACTGAGGTAATGATGTTAAAAGTCTTAAAGGGTCAGCAGGCAGATAAACAAACCTTATGTAGTTTTGTTAGTGTTGGATGACAAAGAATAACACTATGCAATTTATTTATTATCTTATAATCTCTCTGCAGATATCTTTAAGCCTTGAAGGACAAGCCATGTGAGATCAAGGTCAACATGCAGTGCTAGACAAGTGTCAAGCTGATATCCACCCCTCACTTGGCTCTCTCTGACAGTGCAAGAACTGTAGCATCAGTCCCTCCTTTGTGCTACTGCAGAAGAATAAGGTACAGTAAGCCTGTCAGCTTACAATATTTTTAGTTGTTTGTATTGTATTTTGTTTACTTTTTAATTTATTAATTTCATTTCACGATATGAGTCCATACAGTTTAGTTTGTAAAACTTGCATGTGCTAGCCTAAACAACAGTCAGCACTCAGTGTACTATTGTTTTATGCACGTTACATAGTGTGATTGGGTGATATGATTTAAATTTATTTAAATGTTATTAAAGAGTGTCTATTTGCATGTATAGTTAGCCTCTAGTTTAGCCATAAAGAACAGCAAATACCATGTAGGAAAGAGGTCATTGTGGATGAATGGTTCAAACACAGGATTTGAGTTCTGTGGGAAACTAAAGTCAGCATTGAATATTTGTTTTTAGACTTAGTTGACTTATTATTTTCTTTTTCTTTCTTTTTAAAAATAATTTTCAGGTTCAGTCACAGTTTGGTAAGGTTTTAAGCAACAAAACTACTTTGTAGGCATGAGACGATTTCATGAAAATTTCATGTCACGACTATATATTTAATAAGTGTGATTAACGATATTATCACGATAATCAAGAAAATATACTGCATACTTTTGAAATGGCACTAAACCATACTGGAATTACTTAACTCTCGCTAAGAAACAAATATATTTATTGCATCACAGATAGGCACCGCATCATCTCCCTGTTTGTTGTTTTGGAATCTAATACTATTTCCACATAAAATCATATATCTTCCCATCCCTACTACTTGTTTGTCTCTTTCATGCTGGTGTAATGAAATAATTGGCCATCCTACCCCAGGTGCAAATAGCATTGTTGGCTTCTGACACCTGGGTGCTAAAAGCATCTGCCGTATTAAAATTGCTATGTATATGTTTTTTCGTTTATTGTTTTTTTGGCATTTACTTTATCTGGATAGAGCGAGAGGGGGGATGAAATTTAGCACAGGTCCCAGGGCCGGATTTTAATCTGATCTGTGGTAAGGACTCAGCCTTGGTATGTGGCACCCCCAGATTTAGCTATTATTTATGTAAACAGTATCAGAATCAGAATTAGAATTGGGTTTATTGCCAAGTAAGTTTTTACACATACAATGAATTTGCCTTGGTGCGTTGGTACATAAAAATCACACAAAAATAGAGTACTTTTAAAATCTAAATAAACAAAGAGAAAGATAGAAAGATCTAAACTGTACTGGAAAGATAGTTACAATGTGCTGTAAATGTGTTATGTATACATAGCTTCTTCTGAAGGAATAATTTTGAATTTGTAGAACAATAACATGAGAGGATCATAAAATCATGATATAATTTTGCTGAAATTTGATAAACAATGATATCTGATTATCCCCCACTGGAATTGGCTAGGACAGTGTCAGTGAATGGTACTGTATATATTAAACAAACTCTCTTCAAATGTATCACTGTTAAAGTAATGTGTCTATTTTAATACTCCAACATGTTAACAAACACACGTAGAGATATTATCTGTTCCCTGTAGTTAGGTGCTTAAAATTAATGACTTGTCTAGTCACTAAACATCTAAAATGAGTAGGCTCAATAAGCCTAATTTACCTACAGATAAACAGTGCCTTTAGACATTTTATTTGTGATTTCTGTTTAGAGATTACAAAACTGTTCTCATCTGGTTTATAGGGCCATTCTTACAAATTTTCACGGTTTTCGCTGCTTCAGGCCTCCACCCAGTTATAGATTCATAAATATTACAGTAATTACGTAAAAACGTCATGTATACCATCATGAGCTACTTTCCACAGAAATAATTTATTTAAGGAATAGCAGCTTTTTTAAAATCTATTTATGGGTGTTTTTTATTGCTGTGATCAGGAAGGGACCTAACTACTACTAACTACTAACTGGTTTAGAATATTCCAAAAAGCCAATATCGTTACTATATATTCAAGCGGATATATCATAACTCTAGATTCAGTATAAGAGGGTTTACACAAAAAAAAAGCTGAGTTTTCTTTTATTCTAGGGACACAGTCTAAGATCAACCTAGACAGTTATGTCTCGGTAGAGACACTGCTGGAAAAAAAACACACAAAATGCTTACAAAATACTACAATCTGACTAACAGGTAATGACCCTATTAGGATTTTCAAAAACATCCCTGCAACAGTAGAACGTCAAGGAACAGTTCAAAATGTCAGCACAAGGTGGCAGGAGTAAGTGTGTGTGTGTGTGTGTGTGTGTGTGTGTGTGTGTGTGTGTGTGTGTGTGTGTGTGTGTGTGTGTGTGTGTGTCTAATACTAACCCTTCTGATATCTTCCTCAACTGAAATACATTTAGCAGCTGATATTTTTCATTGTCGATAAAGTGATAACACTGACTTATACATTATACATACTTATGTCTCCCCTTTGCCTCTCCAGGTTAATGTGAGAATTCTACCAGATTCAAATACAGTAAATAAGGACTTTACACATTAATTTGAATGCACTTTGCTTTATTCTACAGAGTTCTAGTACTTTGAAGACAAAGGAGACTACAGCCAAGGAGATCCCAAAGGTCTTAGGTGGCCATCTGTGAGTTTCACTCCTCCTCTAGCCCTTTCTGTGATGAAGAATGATAAGAGAGTAGACAAAGAGAGACGGATTAGGGGACCAACAAGACTCAACAAGTGTTATACAAGGAAGTACACCAGAACTAGATTTTGATTAGTAAATGTAATATTCAAGATGTTTTAAGTTAGTGATTGTGACATTCATTTTACATGACAAAGGTTTATTTTACTGTCAGCATTCCTTTACTGTAGTATGTTGTATGAATTTAAACCATGTCGCACTTAATGCATTTGGAGGAAGATGTTTTAAAATGCATATATGCTAAAGATCCACGTTTAGTTTTAGTAACATCTCAAGCCATTTTTGTTGACACTGTGAAAACTGATTCCTAGCGTGAGTTCAGTGTAAATCATTTATCTTTTTTTTAAATAATTTATTTGAAATAGGTTAACAAAAATGTTGGTAATGCCAACAGAGCCACAACATTAGCGTGTTCCACTCACTGCATACGAGCAAACAAGAACAGTAGGAACTTTAAGTGAGAACGTAACACTAACCCAGTGCTCTCACAACATCATTTAACATTGTTTGTTTGTTATTTTGTTTACATTTATTTGATTGGTATGTTTATTGATGTCTCTGCATTCCCCAAAAATCACATTGAATTTACTAAATAGTTCAATAGTATAATAAAAATGTTAATTTAGGGGCACCTTGGGGACCTGGAGGTTAAGGAGCTAACCATGAGCCATCCCTGGTTTGAGTCTGGCCAGGGAGGTGACCTTTATTGCATGCCGTCCCCTTTCTCTTCTCTATCCCCTCTTTCTGTCATATTTGTACTGTCAACTCACTAATAAAGGCATGAAATGACCAGAAATAAACCGTTTTTAAAAAACAATGTCAGCTTCTTTCTATGTCACAAAAAAATACATTACTACTAACATATTAAATTCCACTAATACAACTTACCAAATACATTAACAAATTCAGAATAAAAGTGATCAATTCAAAGACCGGTCTGGTTTATTTATTACCATTAAAAATGATGAACAGTTGTATAATTACTGATTTTGAATTGCAAATAAAACGCAGCTTGAAATGGATGACATTTAAATGATGAGAATGACGATGAATGAATGATAATTAAGAAATAGCGTCCTCACTGTGAAGGCAGTAGGACAGTATATGAAGTGCTGTATTAAAATCTAGAGCTTCTTACCTTTGAGCCCACATCACGGCTCTTGGCTCGCAGCTTGTTGACTTGAGACTCAGCGATGTCAGCTCGCTCTTCAGCCTCATCCAGCTCGTGCTGCAGTTTACGGAACTTGCCCAGATGAGTATTAGCCTGCTCTTCCTACAGGATTCAACAAAAACACAGGCCACAAAATGATATTACTAAAAGAGACTATGAACCTGGGAGAATTGACTGGTCTTCAGTTGAAAGGGTAAACAGCTATAGCTATAGCTACAGCTGAAATGTTTCATTGCTAAAATGCAAAAATGCTTATGTTTTAGTAGTATTTTAGAATTCTCAAAATATAATAAACTGTATAATAATAATAAACTGTATATTATAAACTAGGATGCACAATATGTTTTTTTTTCCCAGCCTATACGATTACTGGTAATTACCTACTTTCCATGACCTATACCGATAAGATAACCAATAATTTCACATTTTTGTATATATAAAAAGAAGTTCATAACCTGTTCTGTAAGAATGATCATTAAATATTCCATTGCTCTGTTCTAACTAAATCTAACTGAAATCACTGTACACACAAGAAAAACTTCAGAGTCTTCAGATGGTCTTTTTTTTCTTCTTTTAGGTGCATCAAAAAACTTCACAAAAATACCTAACATAAAGCCTATCGATTCATTTTCAAAAGAATTCTAACTAAATTATCTGACTAGTTTATCAACCAGAATTTATAATATAAATTTCCAATTATTCTGACAATCATTTTACTGTCCTGATAATTATTGTGCATCCCTAATATAAACATGCTATGCTATGAACTGTAACTATGAACTATGACAGCTTAAAAAGTGCTTTTAAGCTATTGACATTTTGCAAAACTAAGTAAATCCTGAGCACACAGCACAAATGAAAGATAACTTTCCCAGCCCATACTTACAGCCTCCTCAGCAGATCTCTTGTAGGCTTTGACTTTCAGCTGCAGTTTGTCAACCAGATCCTGCAGACGCACAGTATTCTTGCGGTCTTCCTCAGTCTAGATAAATCAGGAATAGGAAAGAGACTCACTAATTTAATAAGGAGTATTATTTTTAATTAGCATCTTATATTTATATATTAGTTTAGATTATTTAGATAATTTTAACTTCCACAACTTAAATACACATGTAAATAAATAAATCCAAACAATTGTATTGACCGAAAAGGTGTAGGCCAAAGCCATAGCTTATTACACATACTCATTTTACATTATTTATATAGATCCCTTTGGATTTATACACTGAAAATATACATTATATGTATTCTTATACATTATACCCAAAAATCTTAAACAAAAATACAAATTTTTATACCCCCATTTTACATCTGTTAATTATGTAGATAAATAAAATGTACATATAGATATATATGTTGTATAGATGAAAATACACATGCTATTTGTATACGTTATGGTACAAAATATTACCTGGTATGTGAGCTCCTTGATGCGTCTCTCATATTTACGGATTCCCTTCACTGCTTCACTGCTCTTCTTCTGCTCCAACTCCACCTCATTCTCTAGCTCCCTCACCTGAAAACATCAGAAAACCATTCACTGTGAATCAACCGGTCCATAAGGAGCTATGCTCAAAGCTGCATTGCTGCATTTAACATTTACTGAAATAACTATATATTTATCAGCCAATTGTGCAGCTCTACAGAGCTTTTTAGCTCACTGTTTGGGTTTTATGGCAACTCACTGGTGATGAAATATCATCATCTAGCAAACTAAAGATTTTGTGTACACCAAACCAGAGTCAAAGAGCAAAGGAATGATGAACATATATTAGTCAGATGTCAAAAAACTAGACTGATCGGATCATAATGTTGTTTACTGTCTGCAGGATATGCAAGAAGGCTTTAAAAGGCAGTAATGTAACAGGGTTATCGGCAAAGTATTGTTGGTTGCTCTAATGTACGTGATGTTTGTATATAAGCAAATTTCTCTTACCCTGGCCTCAAGCTTCTGCACCTGCTTCTTGCCTCCTTTCATTGCGATCTGTTCAGCTTCATCCAAACGGTGCTGCAGGTCTTTGATGGTCTGCTCCATGTTCTTCTTCATACGCTCCAGGTGAGCGCTGGTGTCCTGCTCTTTCTTCAGTTCTTCTGCCATCATCGCAGCATCAGTAATAGCCTTCTTGGCCTTTTCCTCTGCGTTTCTGCACTCCTGGACTGCTTCCTCCACTTCAGTCTGAAGCTGGGATGTATCAGCCTCCAACTTCTTCTTTTGGTTTATCAGGCCGGTGTTCTACATATTTTTGAAATTTGAGAATTTAATAAAATGTGTGTTACTGTTAATTCACTTAGAACTAGTAATGCCTTTGAGTTCCTTAGAATGTCCAAGAAACTAGTCCGTCATCTGCAGTGGTTGCAATAAATTATTAGGTCTCACCTGTGAGTGCAGTAGCTGCACCCTCTCACTAACATCCAGAAGCTCTTGCTCAGCAAGTTTGCGACCTCTCTCAGTTTGTTCCAGAGCAGACCTCAGTTCCTCCAGTTCAGCCTGAAGAAGGTTGTTGCGTCTCTCAACAATAGCAATGTTCTCTTTAAGATCATCATTGGCTCGAACAGACTCATCCAATTGAATTTGGCAATCCTTATTGGGATGACATCAACCACATTAATGTTTATATATATATCAGTTTGAATTTGAAATATCACAAGAAAGTGAGACTTTTCATTTTCTGGTTTACCTTTAAATGTGCATGAACAGATTTAAGTTGTTTCTGGGCCTCAGCAGCCTGCCTGTTGGCCTGGCTTAGCTGGATCTCCATCTCATTGAGGTCTCCCTCCATTTTCTTCTTTAACCGGAGGGCTTCATTCCTGCTGCGACACTCGGCTTCAAGAGAGCTCTGCAGGGTGTCAATCGTCCTCTGCAGGTTCCTCTTGCACTGCTCCATCTCCTCATCTTTCTCAGCTAGTTTACGTTCAATATCAGCTTTAATTTGATTGAACTCAAGCTGGGCTCTTAGAATCTTACCCTCTTCATGTTCCAGGGAGGCCTGGTGGACAGGAGGGTACAGAGTATTACATAACCGCATACAGTTATACTGAAAAATGTTTCATTCATCAAAAAGGAATCTGTACCTCAGCTTCCTCAAGAGCAGACTGGATCTCACTCTTTTCCTGTTCCAGTTGTTTCCGTAATTTTTCCAGTTCATGGATGCTCTTTCCACCCTCACCAAGTTGCTCAGTGAGGTCAGAAATCTCCTCTGTGGAATGTCAAGCAGTGTGATTAAGATGTATTTACAATTTAATTGGCAAAAACGTGTACACTAATCCTGGCAGTAGCTCTCACCCTGTAAGTTTTTATTCTCTCTCTTCATGGTCTCCAGATGATCCAGAGACTCCTCATAAGAGTTCTTCAGTTTAAAGAGCTCAGTGCTCAGAGCCCTGGCCTCCTTCTGGGAGCTCTCCAGCTCACACTGAGACTCTTCGTACTTCTGCTTCCACTCCGACAGGACCTACAGTGGATAGAATGGCCAACAGTAAGTGTACATGTGTCAGATGAATGGAGAAAGCACCACAGGCTTGGGGAGTTTGCCTTGCGTGAAACAATTTCTCCCATTATGGAAAACAGCACATCTAGGTAGATAACACGTAAACCCAAAGATATTTGCTCAATAGGTGTTAGAACAGAATATAAATGTGTTCTCCCCTGTTAAAGGCACTATTTCCATCTTTTATAGATGGCATTAGTTTATGTTTGTGGAAAATTTGAATGCCAATGAAAATTGGTGCAATGTGTTGCCCACTAGCTTCATGCCAGCATGTGCTGCAGTGTGTTTTTTGAATACTACCACTGGGGGGCACCGAACTTAGACTTCAAATGTTACACACTACCCCTATTAAAGTTTAGTGAAGCTGCCCTATACTGTAGTTGTGGTGGGCAGCTCTAAGATGTGATGTGTGTAAAACATGAAGCTGGGCACTACTAAAAATAGTTAATAATTAAAAAGTCTACTGATGATTTTGCTGGTCCAAAGTCCTGTGGCTCCCCCCAATTGATATCTTTAGTGGTCACCAATACTTCATAGTACTTCACCTTATCAAAGTTTCTTTGCTTCTTGTCCAGAGCAGCAGCAGCAGCATTAGATCTCTCCACATCCACCATGAGATCTTCAATCTCATTCTGCAGCCTGTGTTTGGTCTTCTCCAGAGAGGAACATTTAGCGTTCACTGCTTCAACAGCCTCCTCGGCATCCTGCAGACGCTGAGCCAGCTTTTTCCTTTAGAAAGCAATCATTAAAATAATTGAATGTCCCTATAGTTGTGGTATAAATTATAATAAATTCAACTAATATAATGGCTGCTTGATCATCTAACAGACAAACTTTTTGTTCGTCTTACATTTTAGTAGGAACATAACACAAACAAAAAGCTGATCTGCTAGACGAAGTTAAATGTCTCTTTAGGAATTACATATCAAAACATGAATTTGTATCTCAAACTGTCTTACTTGGCCTCCTCCAGTTCCTCAGTTCTCTGTATGGCATCAGTTTCGTACTTGGTTCTCCACTGAGCTACCTCAGAGTTGGCCTTGGACATGCTGCGCTGCAGTTCAGCCTTGGCCTCCTGCTCCTCCTCATACTGCTCCCTGAGGAGGTCACAGTCATGACGAGCAGACTGCACTGCATGGGCCAGGGCACTCTTTGCCTGTC